ATATCAGAATTACTGTTTTAATTATGATTAAATCATAGTAATAAATATAATATACACATACATTTAGAAAAAACAGACATGACTGCAAAACATCCAGTTTGCATTACAATACGGTACAGTACATTTATTGTGCTTTTGTGGTCGGGTTAATGCAAATTTTGAACTTTAACCAAGACATTCAGAAAGAAGAAGTCATTTTATTTATAACTCTATACACTCTACAAAGACAGTCTATTCATTCATCCGTTTTCAGTTTTTGCAGACTGGTGGGAGTAGGTGACATGAACCCACGAGAATTGGGTCCAAAGACCACTGTCGCCTCATAAAGACAGTTTAACGAAAACAAAATGACAAAAAATACATTGAATAGATATTGGACACAGCCGTAAGACAATTTTAATAGATTCATCAGATTTAAATCCAATTCAATTCAATGTATTCTTGTGTAGTCCTAAATCGCAACAGTAGTTTTCTCGGAGGACTTTACAAAACCAATGGAATTCGCCAACACAGATCAGAAAATATGTCTCAATATTATTTGTTGTGAATTGAAGCCCAGACTTTGTCATCTTCTTCACGTATTTTGCTTTTTTTGCGACTGCCCTTGATTTTGCATCACTGAAAGTCAACAGCCGCTCCAAAAGGAACCATATTGTTTATGAGGGGCTTGCCGTCATACAGCATATGTTTGGTATTGCTTAAGGTGTCCCATCTCGACCCTGTGTCATAATGATAAATACATGCAGATGTTTGGACTATTAGACATCTGGTACCTTGGCATTACCGTCATTATATTGCATCACAGCCTTGTTTGCCTGTCAAACTGCAAACGTGACTTCATTTAACCTCACATAAATGGACAATGTTTGCTCATAAAAAATACATACGATCATGGGAAAAGTCATTTATATGTATGTACTTTAGCATTGGGCGCTTAAGTCATTTCCTGCCACACTTCCCGGGCCTGTATCTCTATTAAAGCAGGGGTTTCGCAACTTTCACACCACAGCACATTTAGAGAAATTAGTTCCTCGCTCTCAAAACAGTTTGCTTCTATCACTAGTTTTCACGTGCATGTTTTTGGAGCCTCTGTCACATCTTCAGATTTGCTTTTTCAGTCAGTGAAATGAAAAAGAGAGAACCAGTATCCCTCAGCCAATCAGCTTCCAGCCAAATCAAATAGTCTCGGACAAATCAGGACCAGCGACAACTCTAAACTCACAAATATAACATTCAATAAATGTTCTTGTTCATAAGGATTTTCAGAAAAAAAAAAACTTTCTAAAATCTATAAGACCCAACCTCCAGACATCACCTTAATACTCCCTTAATACCAAAATATAGGGAGACTTTGAGCTTTTCCTGTGCATATACCATTCCCACTTATAATTAGAGTAAATGAGTCACCAGAGGCCAAAACTACAGCGTCTCAGCTTCACAAATAGTCCAGCTATGTTTATATCTGGACTATTTGTGATATATTTGTGGTCTAAAGGGTAAAACAGATTCAGTTTTAACTTAATGTAAATAACTCCGAAAATAATGTGAATTGAATTGTGTCAGCTGTCTTTAATATGATTTATTAGAAACATTTCTGATTTGATTTTGAATGCTTAATATTCCGCTTCAGTATGTTTTTTTTTTTTTGGAAGGCAGGCCTAGTGCACAACTCCAAAATCGGCGGACTGTTGCTATTGTGTTGTCTATCTCCTGCCTGGATTCCAAGGTGTGAAAAAGCCCTTTGTGTATCCAAGACTGGGACCTGCCGCCTCGCTGTCATTTGATGATATAAGACATATGTTTATGTTCTTTTTGCCCAGATACAGCCTGCATGTATATACGCCCGTGTGTGTGTGTGTGTGTGTGCGGCTATGGGGGGTGGGAACTTGTTTACCTCTCCTCTCATGCTGTTCCTCTCGACAGGGGGAAGAAAGACAGCCGTAGCACAAGTTGGTGGAGCGAAAGTGCACAAAGCTGGAGGTGAGTTCTCTGTGCGATAAAAATACTAACGATGAAACGCACGGAGAGGATGCTGCAACAAAAACCCTTTGGCTTCTGAAGCAGCACCAGCAAAGAGCCCAGTGCTGCAAAAGGTTATAGCAAAAATTACCATGCTATAAAAAATAAAGTAGGGCTGTGTAGTAACCCTGCCAGTACATTTCATAATTATGTTCAATTATACAGCCAATCAATACAATTTGAATTGGCTATTTACTGAATCAAAAAGACGATTTATGATCAATATTTATGTGCAACAAGATTTTTTTGTGTGGCTATAAGTTGATTTTTGTCTATACTGTCTACATGTCCTCTACAGTCACATTTTATTATGATGACTAAAGCGTTGAAAAAAAAATACAACCAAATGATACAATGCAATATCACACAATAATATATAAGACCTCACTATGACGCCCCAATGTATTCATGATTTCCTAAACCATATGAAAGTAACAAAGAGAAAAAAGTTCTGCTAAAGTAATTTTGCCTTTTCACGGTTTATTGTGGAGGCTGGTGTGAATTTCCAGCACAAAGAACCAGTTAATCCCACAGCACTGGGTTTAATACATAATACATTTAGTTGGGAGAAAAGTGTAAAGAGAGGGAAACCTTAAATGAGGCGATCCTGAGGGTGAAGACTGCAGTAGAAGCCCAGCAGCACTGCAGCCTGCCAGCCCTGCGCTTGATTGGTCTCAGTGGGCATTTATGGAAGGAGGAAAAAAAAAAATCCTATTTACATACAGTATACAAGCTGCACGTGCACTGACCGCACGCAAGCTGTTGTAATGTTGGTAATGTGATGGAGCCGGGTCGACTTGTTTGTCCTTCAGAAATAGCTATACGGTAAATCTCCTATACACAGTCACAGGCACAAACATATTGGGTTTTTTTTTCTTTAAGTTCCCCATTAGCCACTGAGGTGCAGTCATGGATGTATTATATTGGGTGCAGTGGTTATTCTTTCTGAGGTCTACTCAAATTCATTACTGTACATGCTTTTTTTACATAAATTTTTATACATACATCCTATCTCTCTCTTTCACACACACACAACATGAAAAGCTCAATGGGAAATTAATTACAAACTATATAAGAACAATTAGTTACGGAGTACTTGTCTATGTCTTACATATGTATGTGTCTATGTCTAACAGAAAGACATAGACACATACATTTCTAAATATACGCACAGATTTGCATAGGAAATAATCAAAATTGTGAACATTTGAAGAAAAGGGGGAAAAACAAATAAAACAAAAAGGTCCTAGAATGTTCTCCGATGGCTTCTGTCTAATAAGCTGTTCTATCCAAACGCAAACCTACTTGTTTAGATGGTCAATATTGCTCTGTGATCGGTTTGGTAAGCCAAAAAAACACCTAAGAGAAAATTTAGGGAGTGCCTTTGTCGTCATTTTTGGCTTATCGGACCTTGCAGCAAACATTTGTTGTATACAGAACTTGCAGGGCGTGTTCCATCTCTGTTACTATGGGATACGCCTTCATGACTAAGAGATTATACCGACGTGTGTAACTTCAGGTAAACATTGCATGTACTTATCCTGCTGCCAAAAAAGACACACAGGAGCCTCTCTCGGCAAAGTGATAATTGGCAATAGTGACAAAGTGCTTCTTTTACAGCATGTGCATCGATCAGGCGTGTCAAATAAAATGGACACAGGCATTCACCGCCGCGTTGCCGGTTCTCTCCGCACGAAAGACTGACCAGCCACCTGCCACGGCTGAGGAGAGAGAGGAGGGAGGGGGCAGCGAGTATAAGAATGACATCACCTCTCCAGAAATGTCACCATTATCTCAAGCTCCAGCGTTAGCCGTCCACAAGGGGTGACATCATCCTCCCTCCCCCCTCCCTCCCTCTCTCTTTCTGCCGCTCTCCGTCTGTTTGTTTGTGTGAGTGTGCAAAGCAAGAAGCGTTTTCAAAAGAGGCAAGAGCAGCGGAGGATGTTTGTCTGAGCCTTTATTCCATTGTACATTTTAAATTATTGTGTTTCAGTAAAAGACTATTATTTAATGGAATGCAATTTGCCGTGTGTATCCCAGACAGCGGCACAAACAGGCAATTTTACAACCCAAGCTGCCCATTGCATATTATTTTGAATAACCAATTTATTATCATTATATTATTACAGGCTTTTTATAGCTTCAAACTCTTGCAAAACAGTCTGATTTGTTCTGAATATTAATCATCTGTGGCCTTGACCACTATAATGATGTTGATTATTGGATTATAGAAAATAGTATCATTAAGAATAACAGCAGTAGCATAGATTAAGGAGTGTACCAAAGTGCTACTCAAAGTGGGGGAGCTCAGATGCATTTACAGGAGTTCCGAAAAACAGACAAGAGAATAGAAAAATATAATTGTTGCACAGAATGAAACTGAGAAAATGGACTCCAACATGAACACCATTATTTTAGCATAAAAATACATACATGTCATTTACAAATGTGTATATGTTTACTAACTACTTTTATTTACTGAAGGGGCCCTGGGGAATTTCATTGATCGATCAGGGGTTCTTAACGCTGAAGACTTTTGAAACTGCTGAAGAAAATAAATATCCCGTCACATGCAATGAGACGATTCAGTTTTAATTCAGGGTTTACTTGCTTGGCCACTATGCGGAACTCCATATTTTTAAGTTAAACCTCACTTTGAGATTGTCCCTCTGAGAAAATACTTCTTTCTCGCAATCTAATGTTTTGCTTTAGATTGCATAATTATCACATTTGACCATTCTTTCAACCTTCATGATTTCTATAACTGAACAATCCAGTGCTTGTCGCGTGGAGAAAGTGTGATGGAATTGAAACACGGGTCAGGCCTTGCGTCCCAGGCCGTTTCAGTGCGGAACAAAGCGGCCGACATTACCTCTCATTAGTCCACTCTCCACTTTCTTCTTCAGTGTCGCCGCTGTCCTGACCTCTGTCATGTTGTTACACCATCCGAAGCCACCACCAGCTGCTGCTATAGTAACCCAATGAGACATGCCAACCGTGCCATCACCGGGCCAGGGCAAGTCCAAGGCACCCCCTCGGGTAAAGCCCACACCACAGATGCCAAGACCGCCGCGCTGACAGGTAAATGTGTCATCTCCGTCTTCATGTTTAATTCAAATGAGAGGTTAAAACATGAGAGGACTTATTCCAACAGTATATCAAGGAAAATTATGTGGCACAAGTTCAAGGAAGCCATCGTGACACAGGTGGGTTAAGTGTCCAAGGACATCTGGGAATAAATACAGATTATTTACTTCAAAATATGTCTGTTACTTTGAAAAATAATATTTAGGTCAAACTACAAACATTTTGGGTGAATGTCATGTAAACAATAAACAATCTGTTTACCAATTTTTCTTTAAGATTTGCAGATTTTTTAAGATATTATAGGAAATGTACGAATCAAATTAAGAATAAAATATTTTACCTCAGATCTTCTTAAATGCTAAATGAGAATGTACCTTCAAAACACAGTTGTCACAATGCAGGAACAAGAGCCTAAAACAGTTGTGTGGGTTTGATGTGCAACAGAGTTATAGTTTATGAAGTGTATATATATAGGGTTCATTTTGTTTTATGTTAAAATATTTGTTGTGGTTCTTTTGAAAGACAAGTCTGCCACGACATGTTGACAAGGTAATCTAACTTGTATTTTAAAAGAACCACACAAAATAATTGTAATCAACAAGTCTTTGTAATCAATAAATTCCACAACTTTCTCCCTGATCACTACTGCTCCTCTTTGCAAACTGTTTCTAGGTTTTTAAGTATACCCAAAGTACTTTGAAAATTGAAGTGCTACTCCTTCTCAAAACAAAGTCGTAGGTAGTAAGTAAAAGTGTATTCAGTGTATAGAGTCTGGTATTCCACACACTAACATCACCACTTACCAAATTACCACTTACTTTGAGTTTTAGGTTCTCCAATAAGAAGGCACTACACCCTGGTATGTAAATAATCAATGTTTTTGTGGGCAAGATTTGTTTTAAGAAGATTTTAAATACACCGACCACACTAAAATAACTAGGAATCCAAGGTGTGCGTCACGACACTAAAACGTTGTGAGTGAATGGCTCATTCATTCACAGCAGTGTCGCAGATTTACCAGGAATTCTTTGTGCAGTTTAAACGTTGGACAAATACAACATTTAACATTATTAGAGACTTATCATGGCCATAACCCCCAATTAAATCTAAGAACTGATTGGCTGAGTGGGAGTTTTATTGATTATTATTATTAGAACCAACGTAAAAATGTGTTTTTTTTTTTGTGGTTGGAGTTTGTTTGGAATGAGTGGGCTGTAGATTCACAAAACTGCAGAAATTCACGCCACTTTAAGACTTTGCTTTAGAGAAATACTATTCAAACATATGTTGATTGTAGCAGAAAATTATCACTATGGAGTAAATGTCTTGATTGATTTTTGTAGCAGCTATTTAAGTTTCAAATGTATAGCAAAGGGGAGCGTTATAATGTTTATCCTCTGCCTGGTCCTTTTTCAGACCTTATGTACTTCTGTATCTTGTTGCCAAGTTGCCGAAATTGTCAGAATTGCCTGAAATGTCTGAGATAAATAAATGAACTGAACCCATACCTGCATGTGAAAGCCAGATCCCGTCAGACCTCTTGAGCTCTTGAGGACCTAGTTAGTTCTGTGATGGGAGACCTCTCAGAACATCAGGAGCCACAGTGGGGCGGCTGCGACCGTAAAGTGCCAAACTGTCATTGTGTCCTTAGGCAAGACACTTCATCCCCATTGCCTTGAATGAGTCCGGTGTATGTGTGTGAATGGCTGGTGGTGGTCAGCAGGGTCGATGGCACAGCATGGTTGCCTCACTTCTGTCAGTGTGCCCTAGGGCAGCTGTGGCTACAGTAATGATTTATCACCACCGTCTATGGAGTGAATGAATAATGACATGTGAAGCATCTTTGAGTGTCCTGAAAAGCACTATATAAAACTGATGTATTCTTATTTTTATTATTTTAGTGGTTTATTGTGTCTCTACTTATTAAATTTCACCTATAATCCACCATTACTTATGAGAAACATTTACTTCTAGATGTTATTTGGTCAGAAATAGGCCACTTACTATAATTACATTTGATTATTGGTGATTCTTTGATTCAGAGTCGCCGCGCTCGTGTCTCAGCAGAAGATGTGTTTGTTGTTATAGACGTGTGGATCCCTGTCATATCTGGAGTACTGCTAAACATTATTATCTGAAGAACTGAACTGTATCTATACCTTAAGCATGAGTCAATTATATCTCAAGTGATGACGTCTCTGTTCTTATGCACAAAATCATATAAAAAGCCTTGTCTCCTTTTCTTCGATCTGGAGGGAATCAGAAATAAACCGTGGGACAGGTGCAATCGTCGCTGCCTTGTCTTTGTTTCTCGACACACGCCACAAACAACCCTCTCTGAGCTTCCACAGCGTTCACATTTACACACAGACAAAAGTGCCGGCTTGTGGAAGACGCCTCTGTCCGTCTGTGCTTCAAGTGTCTTGTCATGTGGACTGGAGACATGTCAAACTGACCTCCAAACGCCACGATCTAAAGCATGGTCAAGGTGATTTACAAAGCAACACTGCCGTCAACACTGCCCCCAAAGTGCTGCACATGCAAAGACACAAATCCTAATAAAAAAGTACAATCTTATTTCCATGATTCTATTTTTATTTTTTTATATATGCACAATATATAAACAAAATTCCTAGTTTGTGACTTTTTTCGTATACCCTACAATAGCGATACAAAATAATTCTGATTCTGACTCTGATAAACAGTACAGCAAAAATAAATAAAAGGAAAAAACAACATGGCCTTAGAAAGTTTTATACAGATCCATACGTTGATAGAAAACATTTTGGGCCCTTGTATAAATTGTCAATACATTTTCTTAGCAATAGCGTAGAGCAAAGATGCCAGAGTTTGATATGACATAGATGACAATTGTCTATTTGCGTGCTTAAAGATTTTATCCAGTATCTGACTAGTTGTGTCCAGTGCTGTATCCAAAGTTAGAATTGATTGATTGATTAAAAATGTTGCATTCTTAAGTATATACAATATTTACATTCTTTAGTACCTGTTTCCTTCTGCTTACAGTATATACATACACTTGCAAATATATAAACGTAAATATACAATCAAGCAACAGTCTTTAGTTTCACCATATGTTCGATATTTACAGTTTCAATATGTATTTACAAATGTATTTTGATTTACAAATTGTCAGGCTGAAATGGAGTGGCAAAGAAGTAAAAGCGTGTAGACTCCCACCCCATAGAACTATACAAAGTTCCCTGTCTGTATCATAGTTCAACATTTGTTTTTGGGTTTTGACACCAGCGGCTACAGACATCATTCCAGTTTTTTTATATTTGCATCTCTACTTTGTTCTTGACTTTTGGCACCTTTTTTGGCAGTTGCTGTAACTATTTATTAAGTGACTCATTGTACTTTTATTTCCTCCAGTAGTTACAGTGTTTTTTGTGAAAACGACTTGTCCCGCTGGTCTGACCTGTGTGCGTACCAGTCTAACCAGTTCTTAATGCGCTGATGTTTTGAAGTCCCACTTATGTAGCCACTCTGTGACCTTTTACGATGGTGCAGCTGGGGGCTAATTGTATTTCAGTTGCAAACAAAGAGGGCAGTATTGACGATGACCCTCTAAAGAGTTGCATGATGGGGGATTCGTTTTATTTCTTGTTTGCGGAGCTCCAGCTGGGTCTCACCTCTATTGTGATGCAGGATGGGGCTACAGTCCACCCCAGGCTTGGATCTCTTCACACCTCAGTGGACACTCAGACCTCCTGCTGTTTGGCCAGGGCTTTATGGACCACATATATCACACCCCAAAACACCTGTTTGCAACATTCACACTGGCAACCGCACTATCGACACGTTACAATTGATTTTAGCCTGAAAAGAGGGGGAAAAATATATATTTGTGTGTGGCTGTTTAAGGTGCCTGAAGAAGAATATTTTGTTTGTAAAAGTAATGTTGCGGTAGTGTAAAGTTGAGGGATAGATTATCAGTTATTTTCTTGCATCATAATTGGTGCAATTTCATATTTGGTATTTCATTGCATTGAGAAACTGTAAGAAACACCATTTTATAAGGGAATTTAAGAAGAGAAAAGCTCTTGGGATATAATATTGCTTTATTTGGCATTGAACTTAATTATCCTATGAAAAAGGTTCCACTGTGTTGTTTTAATTTTTTTCTTGAAGAAATATTGTGAAAAGAAAAAGTAGTTACAATAACAGTACTCTTAGGGATAGGTTATTGCTTGTTTTTCCCACTTATATAGTGAGTTTAAAATGCAGCTAGTCAAAAAATAAGACACAAAACTTTACTTGAACCCTTTAGAAGTGTAAAAAAAAATTAAGGAAAAAGTGGGGAAATGTTTGTGGAAAGCCAGATCTCTGTATAGAAAGTGACCTGGATTTAGTGGCTCAGAATGTAATGATATCCTTGCTATTATCCTTGCTATTGATATTAAGATCAATCAGCCACATTTAAAAATATTATCTTGTTTTTAATATGCTTTGTCTGAAGTGGGCAAAAATAGTTAAACAACCAAAGGAAGGACGTTTTTTACAATTTGACTCATCAATCAAATACGACTTTTAAATTGGTGACCAGCAAAACAACATAAAACAGAGTGCGACCTCCACACTTTTCCCCCTAATCCGAAGCATACGTCACTTCTTTTTCCCCTTCCCCCAAGTTGCTCACGCAGGTGTCCGTCCCTGTGGTCAAAGGTGAACAAATACTGGGTCTTCAGGCCATTAACCAGAGCCACGATGTCAGCAACAGGACAATGAGCAGTCAGAGCTCATTAAGGCAAAGACAAATATCCCAAGATGACTCACGTGACAGAAGGTGAATATGGAGGTGAAACAAGGTGGTTCAAAGCATACCATCCACGCACGGCCCTGGGGTGGGGTCCCAGCTCTGGTTTAGGGTGGACCCCAAAGAAAGATCCAGTCAAAACCGCTGAATCTCAAAATATGAATAGACTGAAAGGCAATGTTTACTTTAAAGGTGGATTTTTAGACTTGAAACGGGAAAGTTATATCTGTGTAAAAGTGCTGTGTTGGGAGAAATAAACCTGCAGTGCGAGGATTCCCCAGGTGGATACAGAGTGAACTGCTGTCTTGACTAATCCGACTTGACATAGGAATGTTACAGGTGGCGCACATTTAAACATGTTAATATATTCAGCATTGCATTGTGCTGTATAATTTAAGAGGGCCCGTTTCGAAAAAGATGTTCAATTATGTATTTTACTGTAAACTCTTAGTTGTTTTAAATAATTCATTGTTATTTCAATGGAAAGGAAACGTGCAGCCCAAATGCACACTCAAGTTTGGGGCCAGAGAAAAACAAAAGCACTGTTATACTTATAGAAGACAATTTAATAATCCATTCTTTCCACATACAGAAGTCAAAAGTTTGTTTTAATTTAGATAATAAAGCATTCAAATAAGTAATTAAATAAGTATGTGATGTTGTGAGTCATAGTAGGATTATTTTGGGTAGACTTGGCCACTTTTTTGCCTTTGTTTAATTTGTGACATTGGCCCTATAAAAACGTGAACACGCCATTACCCATGTTACAATTATTTTGTGAGAACCGATATGGGGTTGATATGGTAAATGGATTGAAACTAAAACTAATATTGAAAGTAGATACTAATTTGAGTATGTATAGATACTAAATGAAATAAAACATTTTTGGATATACAGTATTTTCACATTCATAGACCGTATACTATGACTAAATCACTAGAACTTGCATAAAACCATGTACTTCAATAATATACTTAGAGTTCGATAGCACAGTTTATTGTCCAAAGAGAGCATTAGAAAAAAAACGCTGTTGTTTTGAAATTTAGATTAATCACCATTAGGGACAGTAAGTAGAGTATTTACCATTTTTTCTAGTCTCAAATTAGTATTGTGACAACATCAACTTACTCTTCATGAATCCAAAACGACGGCTGTAAGTGGCTCAGTCTATTCATCCACATAAACTGCAGCATGTTTTTTGATACCGCTAAGTGCTGACACCTTCTACTTCCCCCATCACAACAACATAACTGGAATGACTACGAGAAATATTATTAGACTCGCTCGTGCAAAGAAACACATACTTTCTATTCATCACCCAAGATGATTGGGCAAAGTCCCAGGAGAGGTGCAAGAAACATGGCCATACCGGAGTGCCACCTGTGCTCTCCTGGGTGTGCGGGGTCAAAATCCTGGCCCTTGAGATGTGGGTCTGGTTTTTTGGGGCGGTGCTGGTGGCTCCTAAATGGCTGCTGTTAATGATCCTATATTGCTCCTAAACACTGAACCCATTGTATGTTCTTTAAGCCTATAGCATTTCTCTGCTTCTGTGGACATGCTGAGGAGGGAGGGAGAGTGAGAGGGGCACCTGTTGGAAGATTCTTGCCCTTCACAGTGCTCTGGTTGTCGGGGTAGGGAGGGTGTGGCCTGGTCCCCGACTTGGCCCAGACTTGAACTCGCTCACAGCTGTCAAAGACACAGGCAGATCCAATATTGGCACCTACAGCAGAGATCGGAGAAAGTGCTCCTGGCACAAGACTGTTTTGCATATTTGTGTATGATTATGTATTCATATCCATCTCCACACACATTCGTACATGTGCAGCAGTGCTTGAAAGGCCACACACTCAGCCATAGATGTCATTGTTTCGGCCTTATTTTGGAGGTCATGAATGAAAACACAACTTTTTTCTCACTATTTGTTAGTGATGGTGTGAAGCCATATTGTGAAATTTTTTTTTTTTTTCGATTTTCAAATTATAACATCATTGAGAGTCTGACGCGGTCTGGGGAGATTTCAAATGTGCAGTTCATGCAAGGCAGCCCAGGAATTTACAAGAACTTGAGGTGTTTTGCCAAGAACAATGGGCAGCTTTACCATCAGAGGATAAAAAACCTCATCCACAACTGCCACAAAAGACTCCAAGCTGATAGCAAAAGGGAAAAACTACTGAGAACTGGAGGATGGAAACTTCTAATTTGGGGTCAAAAGAGTAGTTTCTGTTGTCATTATAATTTGTAAATAGAATACATATTTACATGACAATATATGACTTCATACAATCTCAAACAAGGAAAGTAAAACAATGTTTGTGTTATCACTCATAATACTCGGCCAAAAACCCGCTGAAAATTCTGTCTGTCTGCTTTCAACCTCAAATTCATTCATTTTCTTCCGCTTCATCCGTTGCCGGGTCGCGGGTGCTTTGAGCTACCACAAATTTAGTAGTTCAAAGCACTTGCCAGATTGATATGTATGTTAATCTAACGATAATTATCTAATCTGTAGAATTATAAGAAACATTCCAAAACTTTCACTTTATCTTCAACAACAATCAATAATCTATTTTATAATTCAAAACATCAATATGCAAATGATTAATAGTCATTGAAATACACTATAAATAGTGCAGCTCCACAAACCATTTAGTTGTTTACAAGGTAGATAAACAAAAGACAAACAACAGATGAATATATCTGGGATTTACCTAGACTGCTGTCAATCCACAGGCCTGCAGTGCCATCTCGTGTCCATGCGGCGCAATTACATGTTAAATTCATGTCAAATTATAATATAGAAAAAAGTTTATATGGGTGATGTTTTTATAATACAATCACAATACAAAAAACTAAATGCACACTGTTGATGACATATTTATATGTATCGTATTCTATTATTTTTACCCCAATTGCAATATTGTTATTTGTTTATTTTTTTCATCTTTTCATATTTTTTGTCATTTTAATAAGACTAGTTTGAATTACTGTTTCCAAGTAATTGTCCTTGTGGATAAATACAGTTTTTCCAAGTGTAATCACAGTCACATGTTTAATAATCTATGTAAAGCCCTGGGCCGAGCAGACCTGATGCTGACCCACAGTTCTTCATGGTCATGACACAACTGTTCTATACTATTCTATACTCTATCAATACTATACTATCCTATACTAGTCACCAAGATATAACGTTTGTTTCTGCTTGAGGTTTGGGGCAATAAGGAAGTGCTGAGGCCCTCGGAGAGTGTGGAGGTGAGGGAGTGGCCACCTGACTTCTGCTTACACTGCACACTGCTCTACCCCAACACGGCTATTAACATTTACTTTACTGTCTCTTTTGAGGACCATTATGTCTGGACCGGATGAATAGTATTTGATATCTTCAATGTAGAGCGCCATAAACAGTCTCCAGGTGAGTAGAGCTCTGACTTACAGCATTTGGCCTGAGTATGTGCGTGTCTTCCAACTCTAACTAGGATTGCATGTGTTTTATGTAAATACTCACACATCTTTTTGACAGAACATTTTAAGTTTCTTTTTCTTGTGAGCTTTCAGAGCAGGCTGATAGTATCTCACAGTGGAAAGAAGAGTTCAGTTCTGGTTTCTTATCAATGCAAGTCTGTGCAGGTGAAGCGGCAGAGCACATTCCTCAGCACAGAAACCCTTTACAGAATAGTGTATAATTATTACAGTGCGAAAAAAGAGTATTTCATAGTGTAAACCAAACCCATACCGAAAAGCTGAACAACAACAGTAATGCAATGGCAGTGTTGAGTAAGGATAAACATGGTCATAATACCGTTACTACATGTTATGGCAGTCTGTGGTTGCCCAGAGTTTCTCACTAAGAACAAATAATACATGGAATCTGTAAAAATAACTTACAGTAACTGGAGGCTACGAGCAGAACACGCTACATTATGATCCAATATTGAACGACTTTATTTTATTAATGGATTTTATAGTTTATTTATTTGATGCACTGGAAAACGGTAGCACGTCCCAGCAGCTCTGAAGATATTGTACTTTTCCTGAATTTCTCCTACGGGGGATCAATAAAGTATCTATCTATCTATTTGATTGGGACACAATCAACATGTGAAACACTTCAATATTTATAGCCAAGGCTAATTTACCAGAAGGATTTTTAACACACATTTTACATTGATACACAATATACAAAAGGCAAGGGCAGGTATAACCCTTGAGTCAAATTGATCCGCCCCAGTGATTAAAAAATATCCTAAAAAAATATGTTTGAGCTGAAAATCGATTATTGATGATTTTTACTAACTTGACCCGCCCTGGGTTATTTAGACCCTTATAAACCCTAATTCTTTTAGACACTTCTACTTTTAATCAATGTGTCGGATCATATTGACCCGAGGATAGCACAAGGGTTAAAATACATCTGAATGCAGCTGAGGTTATGTCCTATAGTTTAGCTCATCTCTGCTGCTCACTTTTCTTCACTCTCCTGTGGAATTTGTGCATCTGTCGTCCTAAACCAATCGCTGTCTATACTGTCTTTACTTTGCGTGCTTCAGAAGAGATGGTTTAATTTCATGCTGCAAAACGTTACACTGATAAACTTGTGGTGATTCACAGATAATAGTCCCCGGAAATACTTGTTACCATAACAACTCAAGTGTGAACACGACAGCATTTGCGAGTGAGAACTGATTGTTCTTAAGTTAATTGTGTTTTGTGTGTTTTTTTCTTTTTTCTGTTGAGTTGAATTCATCTCTTTATATTGTAACAAATAAGTGACAGCATCTTATAGGATTTGTTGAACCGTCCGTCCTCTCACATGTCAGTGGTGGAAGATGCTTTTCCTTTTGTGCTGCTCTGAACTTTGTCACTATAAGTTTGTCAATAGAAATGTATGTGATGCATTGAACATAAGGTCTTATTTTTTCATAACATACATATCATAAATCACAACGTTTGACTTTCATCCAGAGGAATCCCAATCAGGTGCCCATCTCTTTTGCTCTTTGTGTCCTGGCTTAAACACAGACACACACTACACACCACACATTTCACTCCCACTCGGCTGCGTTGTTGCTGCTGTTGGGGAATTCGTGGCCTGAGGCGTCGACAGCAGCAGCCTCTGACAGCAGACAGAGCCAGGGAGAAGGCTGTTGAGGAGGAACACCTTGCGCCACCACAGGGCGCCTGTTTGTGGACTTTGCATCGGGGTATGTTCCGTATACACGCGTTTTTCTGAGGCGTGTTGCCACTATTTTAAGTGTTTGCCTCTTTGTGACTGTCGGCGCTAGCAGTACAAACAAGTGGGATATTAACAACTGCTTATTGAAAAAGAAAATGTATGCGTTTACTTCGTCTTTAAGTTGTTTGTTTTGTGGAATGACTCCAGATCAGACTTAAAAGAGAGAAGAGATACTTATGCTGCTCAATGCAGTTTCCGATGGTTTGTTATCTCTGCAAGACATCTATGTTTGAAAATGAAATATAAGACTATGACAAGCTGCTGTCGTTCTTGTTTCACAAAAAACGTAACGTTTCATAAAATTTTTAGAAATTAGAGTTTGGATGTTTGGATGAATTTCAAGCACAAATATTGATTATGTAATAATTGTGTTACTCCAAATATGATGAAAACTCTCACACTCCTAATCTCAATCTCAACCTTTCGCCCACCTACACTTACACCTATTTTGGTTCACCTTAGTCACACTCAATGTAAGATATTTGAGTAAAGACTTTTTGGGTTGTATTTGGTCTACAACAGGACTAATGTCATCTGGAGGACTCGGTTCACTTCTAAATGAAATATAGCAGTCTTCATGAAGTCTTAAAAAATACAGACATTTGTTTGTTCAAAATACCTCCAAAAGGTAAAAGATACCGAAAGCTTATTTATTGTATTTATGATGCAGCTAATATGTGTATTTTTATTGTGGTAGAGTTGTCAGAGCAGAGTTTATGGAATTATTATTATGATTTTCAGTAGGTATAGGACACTTATTTTCGAAATAGACTGAGATAAGTAAGTTTAATTAGAATTCAGTTTAAATAGACAATTAAGCTGTGAAAAACTGTTGTCTGTCTGTTACATTCAGAGGCGTCCCTTGCCATTAGGCAAGGCAGATAGCTGCCTGAGGCCCCCAAACCGGCAGGGGGCCCCTGAGGGCCGACTGATTTGACACAAGCGGTCGACTTGTACAGGCTACAACAGCTACCTGCAGTGACGAGTTGGCGGATAAAAACTTCTCGTCTGATGCAAAACTTGCCAATGTTTAGTATGACATAATGGTCTAATGGTTAAGTTGCAGCGCTTGAGACGTGACGACCCGGGTTTGAATCTGAATGGGCCCTTTTGGATTAAACTATATATATTATATTCTATGACAGATTGCTCAAGAACGGTAAAAGGTAAAAACAAGCCGTTTTTTGCAGATTAAAGCTAAGAGCCTAATCTTTCACTTGGCCAAATGAAAGATTAGATTTTGTAAGATTACAAAATCTTTTATGTAGTCGGTATCGGGGCCCCCAAGGACTCTGTTACCTGGGGCCCCGGGTTACCCTTGAAACGCCACTGGCTACATTATAACATGAAAACCTGCAGCTTGTATTCAAGTGCGGCCTATATGTGGACAAAATGTACTTCTTCAAAGGTTGCTGGTACGGTTTATATACAGGTGCGCCCTATTGTCCAGAAAGTACAGTAAATATGAATATAAAGTTCAGATTTCAGATGCAAAAGATATGCTTTAGACAAATTTCCCACTAAGAAAATTATGGTTGGTGTAAAATTACTTATTATTTATTAACTGAAAAGGAGGTTTACACGCCTGCTCTAAACTGTGGCCTACATGTTTTCACGTTTACATAAGTAAGTAAAGCCTTTGTCCATCCATCCATTTTCTTCCCCTTTATCCATTTCTGGGTCGGGGCGGTGGCAGTCAGAGCTGCACCCAGTCCACAAAGCACCAGCCCCTCACTGATCCTCCTGCAGGTGGTGAGTACACTGAAGGAAAAGCCTTTGTGATTTTCAAATTGCTGCCGACAAATTTGACATTTTGATATGACTGGGAATAATATTGCAACACTCATACTTTAGTCCACTTCTATCAGAACCAACTCGGGCTCTGAGGAGCACAGGGACTGGCCTCCTGCTGGTGCCTAGAGTCAGAACTAAACATGGGAAGGTGGCCATTTCAGATTCATGCAGCTAAAATCTGGAATAGTCTTCCTGAGAATATGAGACAAGTATCTACTCTGGCAGTTTTCAAATCTAGGTTAAAAACAGTTCTGTTTGGTTATGTTATATTTTATTTTATTTTTTATCTTTATTCTGGGATTTTAATGTTTCAAGGTTTTTACTTAGGTGATATTATATGTTTTGTGTTTAATATTTCTTGTGCTCTTATTGTTTTTTTTAATACCCTGTGAAATAGTAATTGTATTATTATCATATTATTTATTATTATACATATATTTTCTATGTTTATGTAGATTTTAAGTTTTGATGATTTATACATGATGTGATATGGGTTGTGAGGCGCCTTGTGTTGCCTGGTGTAGGAAAGGCTCTCTACAACTAAAAGTTGATTTTAATTGATTGACTGATAAACCCTCGTGAAGACAGCCAGGACTAGAACAGTCTTTTTCGTACCATGTCACATTCCTGTTTCTTGTGCAGTCGATCCATTCCGTCTCGTCCCGGTGTTGAAGATGACATGAAGCCGTAGCCTCCGTGAACATGTACGAGGTGATGTCCAGTGACACTCTGGCCTGGAGAGCCCAGCCTCCCAGGACCAGCAACTCCGACTCCAACCCGGACCCCACGCAGTTCAGCGGCGAGGTCAAGATCCTCAAAGTCTGCTTATGCAACAACAACACGCTCGGGAAGAACTTCAAGCTCGTCAAGTGCGACAGCTCCTGGCAAATTAGGGTAAGTTTGGCGTGTTTTTTGTATCATAGAGGAACATTTCTTTATATGGCACAATTCATACAAAAAATAAGAGGCTGTATGTATAATGCACTGTTAGTGGTCTAATGAAGTCTGTTTATATGTTTGTATTCTATGCTGTTTTCATTTCTTTTTTGTGCCTGTGAAGCACTTTGGGCACCTGGTGTTGTTGTAAATGTGACATGTCTGACATTGACGTTGCAATTACAAATCCAACCTTTGTTATCCAGAATCTGTGACACTTCCAAGCACTGATTACTAATGAAATCCACCTTCTGGGGTTTTGCTAGGAATAGTACAAACTCTGTGTATTTCTGTGTATTACTCATGCCCACCCGTTTTCATGTATCTTTTTATTCACAAAACCAGGTCATTTCACCTAACAAACTGACAACCCAAATGAGAAATTTGTTCTCTGCTCTCTTATTGGAGGATCGGGTTGAACATTTTAAACATAAATATTATGGACATTATGTTCCTAATTAAGAAAAACTCATTGAGACGAACTCAAAATTAAACTTTTGTTGATGAAAGATGAAATAGGATGTGGCCATGTGACCTGTTATTTGAATGAAAATATTACATACAGTCCTTTTAACGCAGACAGAGACTCAAATTAAAGTTCAGATGTATTAAAACATTTGTTGGAAACACAAATTAGTCTTTAGTTTATGCACAGGCAAAGCATTCCACTTACAAGGAGTATTATGGGAGAAAAATGTCTCCTACAAATAGGCTGAAAAGATGCATTGATGTCATTTCTATTATTTATAACATTATTAGTAGAATGTTGCTCTAAAATGTTACTAATATACTTGAACTTGAATACGAATCACTTAAAACATTGTGTATATTGTTATATTTACATAAAAAGGTCATTTCTGAATCCTGTTGGTATGGTCTCGGTACATGACAACAATAATACAAGTAGAACACAGGTTATTTTCATAATTTTCAATGCTGTGTATTTTCCTGCTAAACACTGAGCCATGATCTCTCTCCATCTGAAGTTCTCTTCATCAAAACAACAGTTCCACGTTTGCACTTCCCCATTCATAATAGTTTATGATTAACTTTGGAAAAGGAACAATATTTTCTTGTTAATTTAGTCCCCAGTATTCACTTTATCAATACAAATTTTTATTGACAAGATACAAGATTTGTATATCAGAGGAAATACAAAATTACAGTCATTGTTGTATTTGCTCAGAGAAACCAACAAAACCAAGACTTACAGCTGTCAGTGTGATCATTTGTTCTTCGTTAATATTTGGATTGGACAAAAATGTTGAAACTTTTACCTTTTAAGAAGCTGGAGTTTCAAAAAGCATTGCTATATTATTTGTATTGATTTATTCAACCAACAAACAAAAATGTAAATAAAAAGAAAACAGTAAATACAAGTTTATTTTCTACTCTATGTCCAGGAGTTGGGAGCTGTTCAAAGAATGAGCCTTGATAACTTATGAGAGCAAGATATGATAATAAACAAATGAAACTTTGCGAGACCCACATGGAAGTAGTTTACTCAATGTGTTGATTATAAATGAAGTAAAACTTTCATGTCTTGTCTCGTGCTGCCTGTGTCTCGCTCTCCTTCTGTTTGTGCTATAAAGCCAAGGAACCTTTCAAAGCACAAAAACTGGAACTAAGTAATACAATGTTTCCAGTCCCTCACTCTCAAAACAGTTTGGTTCTGTCACTAGTTTTCACATACAGGTATATGAGGCGTCTGTTACATCTTTAGATCAGTTTTTCAAACAGAAAAGTGAAAAGGACCAGCGTCGTTCAGCTTTCAGACAAATACTGCCTCACAGGGCTCTTCTTTACAAACATGCAAACAATCATATGTTGGTCTGGTTAAAGCTGAGGTCCCTGACTTTATTTGTTTCCATTTCAGGCAATCATCCGCTCCATCCTGATCAGTGGGCGGTTGGGGCCAAACGTGGTACACACAGGATGTTACGGGCTCCTCCTGAAGCACCTGAAGTCTGAGGAGATCCACTGGCTCCACCCGGACCTGACCGTGGGGGAGGTGGAGCAGCGCTACGAGAAACTTCACGTGGAGGCCGAGTGGAGGTGGGTCTGCATCACACCGTAGACTGTAAATATTAGGTCTGTACCTGTGCTCAGGGTCTCATCCTCTGGCTTACAGCAGCAGAGTACAGATGGGACGCAGAGTTCACGTAAGATTTCAATATCTATTTAATATTTCTTAGATTTTTATATTAGGACAGAAAAAAACAAATGTGTGGTTCATGGGTCTGTTAACATAATTACTTATTGCTGACTCATTCAGTAAAGAATAGCTTGAACGTTATTTTTTAGTTCTCAATGTCAGAGCTGAGGTACCGAGAGTTTTGTTTCATAAATACTCGTTGATTTTCCCTAAAGAAGGAGTCTTGTATAATTAACATTTTGTGAACAAATCAGACCACACCAGGCTGTCTTCCTCGTGAAATTCTTTACACACTGAGAGCTGAGTAGCTGCATTTCAGTAAGATTCAGGAAGTACTAGGATGTATAAAAGTCACTTCAGTGTTTTGTTGTTGCAGCTCAGGCCTTTCATGAAATCTTTCTCTGAAATATTCTAGGCTTTTCCCGCTTTATAGTTGCAGTATTATTTGTATTTACCTCAAGGCGATTTCAATATGTTCTTTTATTGCAACATATCTGTGGAATGTACCGTGCTTCAATTTTTATGTACTATGTTTTCTACAGATTAGTTGTAAGGGTACATTGAGTGTCCATATAGACGCAGAATATATTTATCAAAATGTATTACTATATTCATTCATTCATTCATACATTCATTAGTCCATTTTAAAGGATGTCTCAAGATCACAGACTAAACAATGAATGTGGTTTGTTTTTTCGGACAAAGTGGCCGACCAAAGTAAAAATGTTGCATCAAAACTGTTCTGATAATGTTTTCTTTGTCCAGATATGATCTCCGTATTAGATATATTCCTGTCAATTTCCTGGAGAAATTTCAAGATGACAGATCAACATTAGTGTATTTTTATCAACAAGTAAGAACTCATATTCTGTACATTCAACTCTGTCTACAGTTCCTAAAGTGTGTGTTTGTAGGTGCGCAGTGACTACATGCAGTTTCATGCCAGTAAAGTCAGTGATGGGATGGCTCTGCAGCTCGGCTGTTTAGAGATTAGGTCAGAAAGTATTTGTATTATTCATACATTTTATACCTTTGTAGGATTTTAGAATCTTACTTTTTTGTGCATTACAGGAGGTTTTATAAAGACATGAATGCAAAGGGCCTCGAGAAGAAATCCAACTTTGAGCTGCTCGAGTATGTTTTTCATTTGCAATAACATTTTTCAGAGCTCGATATGTTGTAATGTCACCTTTTTCTTTAACGTTATGCAGAAAAGAGGTGGGCCTGAATCTATTCTTCCCTCCACAGTTGATAAACAGCATGAAGGTAACCTTGTAGTATTGTGTTAAATTAATTCACTGTTCAGGGCTGAATATCGTTGTCCTCCCACAGTCAAAGCAGCTGCGAAAGATGATCCAACAAACGTTCCAACAGTACGGCTCTCTCAAAGAGGACGACTGCATGATCAAGTTTTTTGAGACTTTGAGGGATTGCACCAGCTACGACGAGGAGGTTTTCCCCTGTGAACTAGTGGTGAGTAATGCCCCATGTTCAGCTCATAAGTTAAGGCCCCGTTTAGGCGGAGACGCTGCAAAGCAATTTTTAAAAAACTACCTTTCGGCCAATCAGTGCCTAAGGAGGGCGTGGCTTGATCACATCCATGGGCTTAATGTTTACAAGCACCAGCGTGGCCCGCGCCCGCAGCATCACGGCAGAGGCACGACTGTCAGAATGTTTGACAGAGCCCATATTAACTCTGAAAGGTTCAGGACAGAAACAAAAGCGAGTCCAGAAGTTCAGACGAGAGTGGGAAGCACAACACGCATGGTCAGAGTGTGAGCGGCAATTGCTACCAAGTGAACTGTACTCCGCACCGCTAAGTCAAGAGCAAATCAGATCAACCTCACTCAGTTCTTCATCCCTGAAGCATCACCCGAGGCAGACAGTGAAATGTTAATTTGAATGAGTTTTGGTATCTTTATGTCACGAACAATGTGGGCCTGTAGAATCCCCAATGGCAGAGGTCATTGCTGTTTGGTTGTTAGCAGGCAGTCACTTATTCACATGTGCAACCTTTCACAAGAAAGAAGTTATTCATTATAGTTATTAAGAAATTATTAATTCTTGTTAGGCTATGGTCAAACTTCTAATACCCACGTTTTACTGTCGCAGCGTCCTCGAGTAAACAGCTCCTGAGACACTACGTTCAATATCTGAGGGCTATGGGGAAAACTCTAGGTGCTAATGGAAAATTACAATTGAAACATGAAACAAACACAAATTTACCTACTTCATGTATTACTGTTGTTCCAAAAGTCTTATTGATGAAGCAGGGGCCATACATTAATTCCCAAAGAGTGTATTGTAAAATCTGAACAATTGTGTATACTCACAAAGAGCCATGTAACAGTATAACGCTTTAGGCTGAGATCTGATTGGCTGCTGTGTGGTTTTCTTAAACCTTTGTGCACGTGAATCCTCATCTTGTCAAAGACTTTGTGAGACAAACACTTTTGGTTTAAAGAGGAACCCTTTAGTGGCAACGTAGCACTTACTCATTCTACTGAGTGTCATACTAACACCATGTAGATTACACCACTGAAAAGCAGCAGGCAGAAGCAAAAAATGTGTATGTGGGCCTACCCCCTTTAACACAGGCACAGTAAGCATATACCACTGTTTGTGTGTGTGTGTGTGTGTGTGTGTGTGTGTGTGTATACAAGAACACATGCCTAGGTCCATTCCTAGGTCATGTTCTTTAATAATACATTCATACATTTGACTTAAAATCATTCTGTTATAGATTTAAGTGGTCCTGCATCTATTTTAAAGCTTAGTTTAAGGGCTCCTCCTTTTGTTTGTTTCACATATAAAAATCTGAAGAAAAAAAACTCCTCCTCCATTCTCCATTTGAAAACCTGGTCCTCAGCTTCAATATTGTAGTTCTATTAATGTTTTTTTTTGGAATTTGTTTTATTTGGTTAGTAATACCATTGAGCATGTTAAATGAAAAATGAAAGTCGACCCTTACATTGTTCCTGTGAAAAATAACTAGAAAATGTTTGTATTAACTGGTTATTCTTCATTTATCAATAGCAAGGTTGGAGTCTGTCTGTGCAGCTGGTGATCGGTGGAAGAGGAATCCGGCAGCGAACTCAGGAGAGCGCAGCGGTGAGTTTTGTTATAGAAAAGAGAAAACCCTCTCTTTTCTCCTGACTATGACTTCTGTTTGTGCAGCCTGTGTTTTTAGCAGATTTCAAACAGATAAAGAGACTCCAATGCAAACCTCAGTCTGATGGAAAAGCTCTCATCAATCTTGACGTAGAGGGAGCCAGACAGGTAAGAGCACATGTTGATTTTGTGTAAACTGAAGAAATCACTTATAAAAAATTGTTTTTACAATTTTGCAGCGTGTATCAATTAATGTGGCGACCGTCCCCAGAGCAGAAAACATGATGGACCTCATTGATGGTTATTGTCGTCTGGAAAATGACAATGATATTTCAGTTATCTACAGGTCACTCAAGTCAGGTAAACCACAGCTGGGAACTTTCTCTTAAATGAGGGGGATCTTTATTTCAGCTGGGAATAACTAAATAAATAATAACAAAGGACCAGACGTTTTATTGTTTTGGTATATGCAGAAGTTCCATGAGAGTTTGGCTGAGATGTCACAGATTTTGCAAATAAAAATAAATACAATTGTTGGCTCCAATCACCCACTAACATTTGGTCAAACCTTACCCAATATAAACATGTTTAAAGGCCTTCTGGATTCTCTTGATATAAGACAACCCCTGTAGCTATTCATGATTTTGATCATGAAATGTGATATGAATTAGTAATCGACTGAGCAGAATCCAAAAAAAATCGTCATCTGTAGTGGCTCCAAACGATTCAAATTGGTCGGTCCTGAAAGAACACAATACATGAATCTTTCTTATGTGATTCTTGCATCAATCAATGCTTTGTGCCTTATAATAAATTATACATCACAATATTTTAAGAACTAGAGCTGTTATTATTGTGATGTTTGTTAAATTCTTCTTAATCGCAGACACCAACGCGCGCAGTTCCCTGCCTGAGATCCCCACAGGGTAAGTGCATTTAGCTTCAGGCTTATACTAAATTACTGTGATTTGTGCTCGTCCTCGTCCTTATCGACAGTCCCACCTCCTGGGACTCTTTGGTTGTAATTTCAAATGAAAAGTTATTGATGAGAGCAGTTTTTATATTGGACGTGTCAATGATCTGTAGAGGTTTGAATTGAAAACGTGTAACCGGGAGCTTCTTTTACTTTTTTCCCTGAAGCAGCAGAAACTCTGGCTCCATCCGGCAGAGCAGGGGTAAGTTCAGCTGTACTCTTAGTTATATATATGAGTATTTTACAACACTAATAAAACACATTTGTTTTTGTAGACTCTGATATCTATTGTGAAATTCTTGATGAACGACCCAAATCAGGTCAGTGTGAACCATCTGAACATACTGTACTGTATATACTGCCGTTCAAGTGTTCAGGTCCACGCTCAGACAAAGGGTTTTCTATGACCTCATGAATGTTATTGTTTGACCAGCTCAAATAGTCATGGAAGGTCAGTTTTACAGCTTCTCTCATCAGCTTGAACAGTTCTGGCTGAGCAAACCCTATTGCACAAGGAGTTTCTTATCATCAATCATCCTTTTGACGTTAGCCAACACAAGCATAAGAACAGTGGATTGATGCTTTCTGGAAATCCATTCAAATTCACCCTTGTGCAGCTACAGTAGTCATTTATCGATTGAACCAGCTCGTACTTTTGATTAATTCTGTGTTATCTGCTTTGATAAAACAGTGCTTTTCCTTAAAACAAAAGGAAGTGACTCTAAACTTTTGACCAGCGGTGGCAATGATTTGTTACCGATACATTTGCAGACAATAATAGACAGGTTTTTTTTGCAGTTGTAAAATATGGGATCGATCGACACAACATTGTCCTCGGGCGAATCCTCGGGGAAGGCTTTTTTGGAGAAGTGTACGATGGAGTTTACAAACACGCTGTGAGTGGAGCTTTGTCACAAGGACTTATTTTAACTTAGCCTCACTAAACCATGGATCTATAATAATAGCACTGAACTCTGCATTGTATTGACCAGAATGGGAAAAGAATTAACGTCGCTGTGAAAACGTGCAAAGACTGCTCTCCAGATGTGATGGAGAAGTTCATGAGTGAAGCAGGTGTGTAGCTAAACATGAATATAAAGGAGAAATATTATGCAAAATCAACATTTGTGATCTTTTAACCATGTTTCAATAGTGTTTCTCATCTAAAACAGACCTGCAGTTGATTTTACATCTTTCCACGCTAATATCAGGAATTTCTGGCACAAACATGTAACTCCACCCCTTCTGTCTTAAAGCCTCTGTCTCAGGCCTGTAATTGTATGAGGTCATAGTACCACAAAAGAGGTCCAATGGTGGAACAAAAGTATTGGCAATGCATTAGTTTTGGTCATTTATCAGGTGACATTACATTCTTTACATGACTGTGTTTGCTGACAATTATTTTCAATGTTATTCTCCTCCCTCTGGTGGTAGCGTAGGGAGTTATATACAGAGAGCTTTTTTACCCTTCATACTTGTTTCAAATATCTTTTCTACTTAATCTACAGATGAAATTCTGAAAATCATAATATTGTTCAAAGGTCGATTTACTTCTGTATTTCAATGTGAAAATAATATGTGACACATTACACGCAAAGTGAGATATATCAAGCCTTTATTTGTTATTATGTTGATACTTGGCTCACAGCTTATATAGGAACCCCAAAAAAAACCTCTCAGGAAATTTGAAAGATATTTTAATAACGGAATGTAAGCCATAATCATCAACATTATAATGTAAGTCTATAGCATGGGTTGACATAAGTTGTTCTAATTTCCACCTGCATTCACATTTTTAAACATGAAATAGTCTCATTGTCATTATGACCATAATATAATGCATAATATTTATCCTTTAAAAGTTATTATAACAGGTAGAAACTGTCTTTAGGTAACTACATGTTTGTCGTTTGGCAGTTATTATGAAGAATCTGGACCATCCTCATATCGTCAAACTCATCGGCATCATTGAGGTAGACCCAGTGTGGATCGTGATGGAGTTGTATCAGCACGGAGAGGTCGGTGACGACTTTACAATGATACACAACAACATTGTTAGAAAACCATGTCTTTTCATACTGTGTTTTCAATTCAATTCAATGTATTTTTGTATAGCCGTAAATCACAACAGTAGTTATCTCAGAGGACTTCAGACAGTTCAGACACAAGAAATGCAATGATTAAAAACTGCATAGAGCCATTGGTCCAGAATGATGTCCATACATGTTGATAAATGCCCATAAATATTGTTGAATGTTAATTGTTTTTTATTTTTTATTTTTACATTTTCTTCAGCTCGGTCACTACTTATCTCAGAACCAGAAGACGCTCACAGTGATAACTCTGGTGCTGTTCAGCCTGCAGATCTGCAAAGCACTGGTTTACCTCGAGGGAGTCAACATGGTGCATAGGTGAGCACAATCCTATCACTGTAACCACAAGCTTTATGTAAGAAATGTTCATATCTATCATATCACTCGGCACGGTGGCTGAGTGGATAGCACTCTCGCCTCTCAGCAAGAAGGTCCTGGGTTCGAATCCCGGCCGGACCAGGGCCTTTCTGAGTGGAGTTTGCATGTTCTCCCCGTGTCTGCGTAGGTTTCCTCCGGGTACTCCGGTTTCCCCTACCACTAAAAATATGTACAATAGGTCTGGCATGCGCCTCCTGTTCGGCGACCCCGCTCCCATCTCTGTGTGGAGTGAGAGGACAAGCGCCCAAAAATAACAATTGTAAACCGCTTTGTGACTCTGGTCTGTGAAAGGCGGTATATAAATAAAGCTTACTTACTTACTTACTTACTATATCTATCTATCTATCCATCTTGTTTTTTGTTGTTGTTATCTATTAAGATGCTATTCTATTGCTAAACATTATTGTGGCCCTAACCCTATCCCTCTGTTGGAAGATGGGAGGAGGTTGGTTGAAAAGCTGTGTAATATATATTTCGAAAGATGTATATTGAAGCATTTGCTGCGAGCTGAAAAACATAGCAGCTCTTACTACAGTCCGACATGTGCGCTGCAACACTGAAATGTCCTAACTGTGGGACCAATAAAGGATCTCTTATCTATACTCCATTGCAGTTAACCCCCCCCCACACTATCTATAAAAATGCAAATGAAGATCCAATATAAAAGATTTGAAGATGAATCTATTCTATACATATTCACATACTTTAATTTCTTTCAGAGACATCGCGACTCGAAACATATTGGTGGCCAATCCAGATTGTGTGAAGCTTGGCGACTTTGGTTTGTCACGATATATTGAGGATGAAGAATATTATAAAGGTGAAACAAGTAGTTTTGATGATACATTATAGTAAAAGGTTTGGCGGTTCTTCTAATAACACACAGTATTTGTCTTGTGTCTTATTTGTGAATATGAATATAGCATCTGTAACGCGGCTGCCAATAAAGTGGATGGCTCCAGAATCTATCAACTTCAGGCGCTTCACCACGGCCAGTGACGTGTGGATGTTTGGTGAGTCTTCTGTTGTCTGCCTCTCCTGTTTACCATAGCTTTACATTCTTTAGGCTGTGTGTCCATACAGTGCAGGCCGTGGATTGCCTCAGACTCTGTGACTAACAGGTTAGTTTCTAAGCACTTGTTTGTTTTGCTGTGCAGCGGTATGTGTGTGGGAGATAACGAGTTATGGGCAGCAGCCCTTCTTCTGGCTGGAGAACAGGGATGTCATTAACCAGCTGGAGCAGGGCATCAGGCTGCCCAAACCAGACCACTGCCCCCCCGCCCTCTACTCACTCATGACCCGCTGCTGGTCCTATGATCCCAGAGAGAGACCCACCTTCACCGAGCTCGTCGTCAAGATCAGGTACCCACTCTGAATAACTAAATGTGTTGCATACTTGACCTGTGTGTGCACTTTTGGTTTCTAACTGATTATGAATCTGTCAGCGATGTCCACATAATGGAAAAGGAGCAGGAAGTGGAGAGAGAGCGGGACAAAGCACGTTCAACAAAGATTTTTGAAACCAAGTTTAACTTTAATGAACCTCCTCCGAAGGTGAGTGCTTTACTCATATTCTGCCAGAGCTGTGCCAATATAACACTGATCTGTTCTGTTAAAAACTCCTCTACAGCCGTCGAGAGGCAAGCCGGGCCGCTTCGGAAACACTCTGAGCATTGGCCTCCACATCCAGGTGCAGTCACTGCTCACTGCTCACATCATCTTGTTTTTGTCATGTTGTTTTAATAAAGGATCTGTTTTCCCAGCTGAACGAGGCGCTGTGTGCCAGCTCTCCGGACCTGGCCAGTCCCAGTGATTACCAATCCCCTGTTGACTCTAGAAACACCTTGGCACTGCCAGCCACCTCCCCGCGGCGCCGCAGCATTGGGGTAAAAGCAGCTTTAACGGCACTGTCACTGTGTGTGTGTCTGACTGTTGTTTACTGACCTCAGGAGGGAGAGTTCCTGCGCATGGAGTCCAACAGCAGAGAGGTGGTCCAGCGCCTGTGGCAGCAGGAGCGCCAGCACATGCACGACACTCTCTGCAGGCAGAAAGAGGCAATGGTGGAGGATAAGAAGTGGCTGGAGAAGGAAGAGCAACTCCTGGTGGGAAACCAAGCTTCATTAGGTTTTGTCAAGCCCCTGTCTGTGTCTCTTAACGCCCCTGTTGAGCTCGCTGTGGCCCTCGCCACAATACTTAAGCCAACAGCAGTTACTGGTGTCAGGCCACCTGCTGGCTGTCGACGCCCCTCCAGCCTAATACTGAGCACTCCTTCCATAACAATCCCAAAGAGAGGCTCCATGTGCATTCTGTATCAAGTGAACCTGCCTGTTTCTTTGCAGGACCCCAAGGGACCAGAGGTGGTCATCAGCCCAGTGGTACGTGTTGTTTAGACCAGAGATATGGGAAAGAGTAACTACTCAGGCCATCTGCAAACTTTATCTCCTTTTTACCAATGTCTATTACAATTGTTCTACTTATAATAATGAGTGGAATAAATACAATACAAATATGTCTGCTTTATTCTTTCTTGCTGTTTTAGCCTGAAGACTCAGACAATGGTAAGATGAAAATCACAGTTTGTATGTAATTTAATTTGTAACAATCTATCAGAACCTCATGTAATCTTTCTCCTCTCCAGCTACGCCAGAGAAGCCCCCACGAGTTACAGCTCATGTAATCCTTCATCACTGATTAATCATATATATTTACTGTGTACGTGTCACAGATTACCAGACATATTTTTCTCCAGCCTGCTCCCACGGCCGAACTGGACCGCTCCAACGACAGAGTGTACCAGACGGTGATGGACCTGGTCAAAGTGGTGGTTCAGCTGAAGAACGATGTGGCAGCACTGCAGCCTGAACATTACATCAGCATCATTAAGGTACCGTTTCCTGCGTTCTGTTTCCAAGTTGACACGACCTCCTCTTTATAGGTGTGTCGGAGGCGAGTGAATAGTAATAGAAGTCATGTTTCCTGATGGATGAAGCTGATTAATTCTCACATTGATCTGTGCTGCAGTCGGTGGGGATGGCCTTGCGGGACTTGATTTGCAGCGTGGACGAGATCCTCCCCACGTTACATGAATCTGTCAGGACCGAGGTACTGTTTATCACTAGCACCTTGTTAGTTCTCATCTTCTTATTTCCTGTCCCTCTATTGATTTCTCCTGTTGCTGCAAGGCCTAGAGGTGTGATAAAATACAAAATTGAAAGACATTGATTTGTTCATACCAGCCTTTTCGGGATAAAAGCATGTCTGCATATGCTTTCATACTGTACGCATTTTGTTCTGCTTTTACGAAGTATGGATTGTATACTTACACTGTATACTGGGGCACATTCAAAAGAAAATGACATTGGCAACTTTTCTTCTCTCAGTGGAGGTTCCATTTATTTTCCGATGATTATCCTGGAAAATTGCTTAAAAGCTGCCCTGGTTGATATTATAATGGAAGGGTTCAAAACTTCTACACAGAAGTTAAATATGTACCCGGAATATTTGATTAAAAATGATTATTTTGTTGTTGTTGTGAATACTCCCCCTGGATTGTATTTATCTTGACAAGGCAAACCCATTTTTATAAGCAAGGGATGGAGCTTCTACCAGAAAATCTACTGGGTGAATTTACAAACTATATATTTTGAGTGTCAGATTTTTGGCAAGGTGATCCCACTCGTCTAAGAATGCATGTTTTAAATGTATGTATTATGATCTATGTACAGTGCCTTGCAAAAGTATTCGGCCCTCTTGAACCTTTCAACATTTTGCCACATTTCAGGCTTCAAACATTAAGATATAAAATTTTAATTTTTTGTCATGAATCAACAACAAGTGGGACACAATCGTGAAGTGGAACAAAATTTATTGAATAATTTAAACTTTTTTAACAAATAAAAAACTGAAAAGTGGGGCGTGCATTATTATTCGGCCCGTTTACTTTCAGTGCAGCAAACTCACTCCAGAAGTTCAGTGAGGATCTTTGAATGATCCAATGTTGTCCTAAATGACTGTGTAATCAAGTCTCCGTATAAATGCACCTATAAATGCAGAGAGAACCGTGAAGACAAAGGAACACACCAGGCAGGTCCGAGATACTGTTGTGGAGAAGTTTAAAGCCGGATTTGGATACAAAAAGATTTCCCAAGCTTTAAACATCTCAAGGAGCACTGTGCAAGCAATTATATTGAAATTGAAGGAGTATCAGACCACTGCAAATCTACCAAGACCCGGCCATCCCTCCAAACTTTCATCTCAAACAAGGAGAAGACTGATCAGAGATGCAGCCAAGAGGCCCATGATCACTCTGGATGAACTGCAGATAACTACAGCTGAGGTGGGAGAGTCTGTCCATAGGACAACAATCAGTCGTGCACTGCACAAATCTGGCCTTTATGGAAGAGTGGCAAGAAGAAAGCCATTTCTCAAAGATATCCATAAAAAGTCTCGTTTAAAGTTTGCCACAAGCCACCTGGGAGACACACCAAACATGTGGAAGAAGGTGCTCTGGTCAGATGAAACCAAAATCGAACTTTTTGGCCACAATGCAAAATGATATGTTTGGCGTAAAAGCAACACAGCTCATCACCCTGAACACACCATCCCCACTGTCAAACATGGTGGTGGCAGCATCATGGTTTGGGCTTGCTTTTCTTCAGCAGGGACAGGGAAGATGGCTAAAATTGATGGGAAGATGGATGGAGCCAAATACAGGACCATTCTGGAAGAAAACCTGTTGGAGTCTGCAAAAGACCTGAGACTGGGACGGAGATTTATCTTCCAACAGGACAATGATCCAAAACATAAAGCCAAATCTACAATGGAATGGTTCACAAATAGACGTATCCAGGTGTTAGAATGGCCAAGTCAAAGTCCAGACCTGAATCCAATCGAGAATCTGTGGAAAGAGCTGAAGACTGCTGTTCACAAACGCTCTCCATTCAACCTCACTGAGCTCGAGCTGTTTTGCAAGGAAGAATGGGCAAGAATTCCAGTCTCTCGATGTGCAAAACTGATAGAGACATACCCCAAGCGACTTGCAGCTGTAATTGCAACAAAAGGTGGCGCTACAAAGTATTAGCGCAAAGGGGCCGAATAATATTGCATGCCCCACTTTTCAGTTTTTTATTTGTTAAAAAAGTTTAAATTATCCAATAAATTTCGTTCTACTTCACGATTGTGTCCCACCTGTTGTTGATTCTTGATCAAAAAATAATTTTTTATATCTTTATGTTTGAAGCCTGAAATGTGGCGAAATGTTGAAAGGTTCAAGGGGGCCGAATACTTTCGCAAGGCACTGTATAAATGAAAATTTCAGTAGCAGGTGGTAGACTCCATGAGGGTAGTTGCATAGTAACCAGGTCAACTCCTACACACAACACCTGAACTATACCGGCGAAACTCGGAAAATTAGAATATTGTTCAAATGTCGCATTAATTCTGTAGTTCAATTTATATATGGTAGACTCGTTACATGTAAAGTCACATTATCAAGCCTTTATTTGTTTTTATGCTGATATTTACCCTAACAATAATAGTCTTTTGAGCTATAATTTGCTAATTATAGCAAACAAAGCCGCTGTGTCGCTGTGTGAAAAACAATGCAGGACTGTAAATAAAAGTGTAATTTAATGAAAAAAACAAAAAGAAAACAAATCCAGGATGATCATCAAACACACAAATGCAACATACAAACAGGTCCAAGACATGAGGAAAAGACAAGGGACTAACAGCAAGAGGAGAGGAGCACAGGGTATAAATACACAAACAGTAGACAATACACAAATACAGATATACACACGGTGATGACGGAAGCGAGACGCCGAACACACTGGTGCATTAAAGCCTCTGACCAAACACCATCCATTCACTCACTCATTGGCTGGGGCTGGGGCAGGCAATCCACATAGGAAAAGGAAAAGAAACACAAAGAACACAAGACCACTCAAATACAAAATAAAAGTATCAAATCATAAACAAATCTATACCAGCGGTCTCCAACCTTTATAGAGCTACTTTTATACAACAGATCAGGCAGAGAGCTACTCCCTATAACCTATAACCCTATATTTATACTTATGATTGAATTGAATGGAATTATTCAGGATCATGGGTTCAATTCTAAATACTAAGGGGAGCTACCTGAAAGAGGCTGGCGAGCTACAGGTTGGAGACCCCTGATCTACTCCATGACCATAAATTTCACATTTCAAGTTAAAATACAGAAATAAATGGGGTTTGAACAATATTCTGATTTTCTGAGTTTCGCCTGTATAACCTGGATTCTTTTACAGAATCTATAATTGCCTGACCAAACTGTTTCTCCTTCCTTCACATCTCCAGATCGCGGGCACCCAGAAGCTGCTGAACAACGACATGTCGGAGTTGATCAGTAAAATGCGCCTGGCCCAGCAGAACGCCATCACGTCTCTGAAGGAGGAGTGCAAGAAGCAGATGCTGGCGGCGGCACACACGTTGGCCATGGACAGCAAGAACATGCTGGACGCCGTGGACCAGGCACGAGTCAGAGCTAACCTGGCCAAACCTGTGGCTCCCTAGTGGACCAAAAAACATTCAGGAAACAGCTAATTATCAATGTTGTGAATGCAGTGTTGCTCATGGTGGATAATGTAAATGTGTATTTTAAACGTGAGTATGTAAACAAGTGGAAACTACAAAACTGACAAAACTAGTGTCGAATAAAGTGCTCTTGCTCGGTCAGTCATTTCCTTAATGCAATTTTTGTGCTGATGAATCCCTTTTGGTCGTAAAATGCCTGGTGTCACATAAAGCATGTCTTAAACAGAACCCATAGGTGCCGAGTCAAAGACCTGTAATTCAATCAGAGGATACGCCTGACGTGACGCTCCATGGACCCAATCCAAAGTGGAATTGTTTTGTCCTTGGCCTCAGCAGACCAACTCAATGAAAGACATCAATAAAGGAAAAATAACGGAAATAAATAGTTTGTTTTAATCTCCAGCATTTCAAGTCTGTATCGGATGCATTTATGTAAACATTTAGAATAAAGACTCAAGTGCTTGTATTTTTAAACTGACGGTAAATGTAATTTTCAGTAGTTTGTAATGACGTTACTCTAAATAAAACGTTCCTTTCTGCAGATGATGGGAGTACAAATATGTTTTTCTCTTTGTGTTTGGGTGAGCTGAATGATGAACTAACAGCAGGTGGTAGCACACTCCGGTCTTTGCAGATGAACAGATTTCAGTTACAGAACAACATTACTACTTATATATTGTTTCAAAAATATTAGGTTGAAATAAATAATCTCTACACACATGCCAGTGAAGATTAAGCAAATGTGACCAGCAGGGAGAAAAGTTAAAGCCCCATTAGTACTAGTTCATGGTGACAAAGCTCCACTTATGCCAATCACAGCACGGCTATTTAAGGACCTGCCAGGGGTCTGCTTCTACACGTTCCTTCGACTACACGGAGAATACACTGTCCCAGAACAAAACACATTCACATCCTTATATTGGAGTCCAGTTCTAACAGCCTAGATCATGCCGGCGAGCCACGGAGGCAGGAAGAGGCCAATGGTTCCAAGCAAACATACGATTATGAACATCCACAAGAAAATGCGGTCGATGACCATAGCGACGTACTTCCAGTCTTCTTTGACCTGCAGGGACAAAAGTGAAAATGAAAATTGTGTATGGAGAAAGGATAACAGACGAATTATAGATGACAGATGAACAATGCACTGTTTTTTTTTTTTTAATACACAGTGGTCAACCAGTATGTTCCATCTGCCCCTGCCCCATAAGAGTATGAAAAGCTGACATTCTCACTCGTGTCAGCACTGAAACTGCAGCTAATCCATGATTGAAATAAGAGTTGACTAATTCAGCAAATGATTTTCCTGTAGATTTGAACTAGATTTTGTTTAATTTACTTCAAAAACCCAGACATCTCACTATGTTTATGACAAATTTGTATTCATTCATTTCTTAAATACCAAGAAAGAACCTTTTGCCAATACAAACAGATTATTTTAGTTACCATATTGTCCTTTTCTTTTGTTTAATAACCATTCTTGTTCTTTGACATTTTAACGGTGCATTCACACTTCAGTCCCGGGTAAACCAGAGTTCACTTGGGACTGCTTTCGTGAACCGATAAGAGCAAAAGCACCTCCTTTGTGGAGATGTGAAACCACCAAAATAACTTTTTAGTAAGGACTGGAACCTTGTGCATGTGATTGGTGCTTTCACATCTCTGAAGCACGTTTTCCAAAATTAGTTACATTCATAGGGAGTGACTAACAACACACACTAAATGACAAGAATACCAAAATAATTGTTAGTCGCTCGCCGCCATAATCCATCGGTGTGCAAACAGGTTATGTGTGGAAAAGGCTGTCTACTGTCACTGCTTCCATAACTAAATCTAAGATCACCTTGAACTCAGAATCTTACTGCAAAAAGATGTAATAAATGCTGTAATCTTTTTCTAAAATCTCACTTTTGAGTATTTTTTGACTTTCTAAAAACAGGATTGGCCATTGGAACGAGCCACTTCGTCTTCTTTCAAGTGCTATTGCAATTTATGTCTCATTCCAAGTGAGACGTTTCTTGAATTGTCTTGTATCTTTTTAAAAAACAAGACCCTTTTGCTTGTCCCAATGGCAAATCTTGTGTTTAGATCGTCAAAACGTACTCAAATTAAGACAAAAACCACTTGATAATAAGCATTTAGTACCTTATATGTTATCACTTATGGCAGTATATACAACTGCTTCTATAAATATTGTATATGTAGCTTCAGCCAAAAACTTTAAGATCTTTCTTTCTGCTGTAAATGTGCTGTTCTGTGTAAAATTGTACATGTGACCGAAATGAACTTCAAACTCCAAACTCCTGTGATTCCATGTTACACACGTTTCCCGTTGAATACTCACACTGAAGTCCGCATCTTCAGCTCTTAAGTGATCTGCGATGTAGTGCACTCCCTCTAACGCCCTGATGACACTGGGAGACAGTTTAAGAGTTGATTCTGAAACGACATTGTCCACTTTGGGTCTCCGCGTGGCATTAACTCTCATATTCATCGATTGTTTATTTCCCGCCGCACCTGCCTCCTGCCTGTTGGGTGTGTTTTTTGCTTGCGTTGGCGGCGTCGGTATTGGCCTTGGCGAAGGAGGTCTGAAGGAGAAATACGACGTCAGTGTCCCCAGCTCTAAGTCTTCGTAAGAACTCCTTTCTTCTTTCGAATCCTCCCTGAGCCAGTTTGCAGAAGTACTCAGAAGACAGTTGCCGGACTTATAGCCTGGTATCTTACACTGCCTCCTCTCCGCTGCTGCCTCCTGCTGCAGTAGGAGTAACCTGCGTCTCCTGCCATCGGGAGCGGGTCGTCGCATGAACAGCCAGCGTGGGATCAAGTCCAAAAACACAGAGTGGACCCAGCGGGGCATCTTGTGGGTACTTGGCGAGCGATGATGCACGTTGAGTACAAACACAGTGATAACAATAGACAAGGTGACGAAAATCATGGTGAATAGCAGGTATTCGCCGATAAGTGGGATGACTAAAGATGTGGAAGGGATAATTTCTGTGATAAGCAGCAGGAAGACAGTGAGAGACAGCAGGACTGATATGCAAAGGGTAATCTTTTCGCCGCAATCTGATGGGAGATAGAAAACTAGCACTGTCAGGCAAGAGATCAAAAGACAGGGGATGATGAGGTTGATTGTGTAGAACAGTGGAAGCCTTCTGATAATAAAGAAATAGGTGATATCCGGGTAGATCTCATGGCAACAGTCGTATTTCTTTGTGTTGTAGGTTCCCACAGCATTGATGATTGCCCATTCTCCACTTTCCCAGTAATTGTTAAGGTCCACTGTGTTTTCAATCTTTTCCAGGTCGATCTTGGCTTTGTCGTAGGTCCACGAGCCAAACTTCATTTTACAGTTCTGCTGATCGAAAGGAAAGAATGTGACATCAATGCTGCAGGAGCTCTTGTAGATCGCAGGAGGAACCCAGCGCACTTTGCCCGTGTAGAAGAGATGAGCTTTGGTCATATGGGTCACGGCAAACTCCCCATCAGCACTGCCAATGAAAAACAAAGGGATGGAGATGGAGAGATAAATCAAATATCACAAGAGGCAATCACAAAGGACAACCCATCCATAGCCTCCAGAATGCATCTTAATCTGATGACACAGCACCAAAAATACATGTCTTGGTTTTGCTCTTTTATAATGCAAAAGGTAAATAAGATCTTTAATTAACATGTTTTAATAATTGACTATACTGTCCAGAAGATGGCGCCCTTTCCACATGGTATTATGCTATAACTATAGATCACATGAATGAAATGAGTGTTTCCTAATTACATGTGGCATGTAAAGCATTAGCTGATGCTTAATGTTTCCTGAATCTCACTTGTTGTAGAGAACGATGTCCGGGACCCAGATCAGCTCGGATGGCACTCTTATAGACGTCACATTGTCGTAGTCAGATGGTCTCCAGCGAAGTTTATAGTCGTTCCACTCCTGAAGTGTGCACAATTACAGTAACACTATCCTTATAATACAAATCTTACAATACACAATCAATACACTGCAACATACCTGCTTAAGCCATACATTTGTGGTCATCATCTGGTTCTTTTCATCCTAAAAGTGACAAAACAGAACATTATAAGATTATATTGACATTATCTGACTTCACTGTAGTAACTGTTGATTGAACACACTCTAATTGAATGAAAGTGAAAGAGTAAACCCTACCACATCAATTAGCTGAGCGATAGACAGCCCAAATTTGACAATAACCACATCGGAGATGTTTGGTACAGGCCTGGACCACTTGTTGTATCCAGCAAACAGCCTCTTGAAGAGATCATCCTCAGCGTGTGAATGAGACTTCTCCTGAGACAAAACTGCAGAAATATAGAACATGTAGATTTACCCATCATTCAAGATGAATTACTCATTATTATTGTCATTTAAGATTGTCATTTAAAAAGACTGTTCCAGCACTGTTTGTTAGGAGGCTGCTTGCTGCAGACTTCTTTTGTGTTGTCAAAAGTGCCTTATTCTGAAAATGTCCTTTGTAAAGTCTGCTCGACTTTTCCACATCTTTGATCTTTTGAACCCTTCTCTCTCGTGCAGCGCCTGCTAAACTCTCTCAAGGTGAACAGGTGGAGACATACGCTTGTAATCTTCACCCCTGTTAATCCTTATTATTCTTCTAAAAGACAAACAACATTGAAATGGGAGCAGGAGCCCCTGGGGTCCAGCCCTCATCAGTTTAGTCAGAGCCAATTACACACATCATTAGCTGCAGTGTTAAGTGGAGGTGAGCTCATTTTTAAACAAGGATCAGTGTTGATTTTGAGCTGTTATTAATAAGTGTTAAATGTCATACAAATAGAGAAATGCACTCATTCAAATTAATAGCAACTTGTTTCAACTTTCTAAAGGATAACAGGAAGCAATGATGTCAAAGTTGTTATGGAAATGATCAATGTAAAAGTTTGGAGTTTTGCAAGAGAATTATGTTACACAGTTGTTGTGACCTAGAGTAATACTTCATTTGTTTCAATTGTTTTTTTTTTTTCATAAACAGTGCATCACATGTCCAAGCTTGGATTCAGAAGTTTCAATATATAAATGTGACCCACAATGATGTTTGTTGAGGATACAATGATACACAGACATTAAGTCTTCCAAAGAGAATTCTTTGGTATATGGTGCAAACAAGTTATACAACGTAAAAATAAATAAAACTAAAACAGATATAAAAGGCATGTATACAAAATATTGATACATTCTAATATATAATCACACACAAGAAACATCACTGTCAATTGGATCAAATTTTACAGTCAATCTAACATCTGGACAACCATTCTGACAAACGGATTTTTTCCAAGTTGACCAATTCAATATATTTTATACTTTTCTTTACAAAGTTGTCGATTTGTCAACACAGATCAGAGAATCAAACAGTTGAAAACACCAAATCCCTGCATGTGTCCCTAACAGTGAGAGGACCATGTGGAGGGTAAATAGCTGTTGTATTGAGCCAGCCTGAGGAGAACATGCAAATCTCTTCATGTGATTTATTGCCGTTGCCAAATTGCTTGCCTAGAAGGTCTTTAACAAGGCATAGCTGGAGCAATATGCACAACCCGAGCACAGCACACATATTGAGCTGAAGAACACCTGTGGCACCTGTTTGTCACCAAAACGAGCCAGACTCCAACACCTGCTGCAACCTATGAATATACACAAGTTTCTCACAAAGTGTACCGAGCTCCGTCTCCGATCAAGGCCTGGTGTGATGGTGGCAAACAGGGGCACGCACCAGGGAGAGGGCGCATGCATGTGTGGAGGAGCAGATGTGGGGCTTGACAAAGGGTCTGCCATAGATCAACGTGTGCTGCCAGAGGAGACGGAGCCGGTGACATCTCTCGGTGTGAAACTGGCAGGACGCCAAACGTGTTGAAGGTGCGCCAAACTCTGACCACATGACCCTGTGATCCATCAACAGTTGTGCACGGACTACAGGCTCATTTGGAAATTGGACAGTTACCGCACATCCCTTTAATATATCAATGTATTAATATGGACCGGACAAACCAACAGCAATGTAGATGTTTTGAATCAAATACAAAAAAGTGAACTGTGAATGAGCCATTGATATTTTCTTTATTTGAAAAAATAGTCAACTAATCGATTCATCAAGACTTTTGGAAACAAATATTATTATGACAAAAACGTAATTATAAAACGTTTATTTCATTATTTACTTGTTGATCGCAATTTTCTTTAGTTTGATTCAATCTCAACGTGGATCTGCAAATTAATCGACTAAAAAATAAATAATACTAAATTATTAGCCGTGATTATACAATGAAAACGAACGCAACGCTGTAATTCCACTAAAGCATCAAAAGTAACACCCGGCACATGGATCTATGAGCATCAGCCCGCATCAGCCCGCATCACCCGCACAGGACGCGGCTCACGGTGAGGGATAAGTGTTATTGGTCATTAAGAAGATCGTTTGAGCTTGAATCAATCAATCAGTTTCACAAAGGTCAAAATGTTCATCTTTTTCAAACTTATAAGGAATCTTCGTCTCTTACCTGTAACGGCCATAAAAAGGAAAAGCGTTGCCCTCGCTGGGAACAGGTCGGTTTTCATGTTGCAAAATAAATCCACCTCCATCAGAGATGAGTGGGAGCGGCTCGTCCTCCGTCAAAGTGTTATCTCGAGTCCGCGTAAAAGAGCCCAAAGTCACCACCATTGTTGGGACGCATGGCGAGGCGTGTGCAGTCCGCAGCCAAAACTTCCAGGACAAGTTTCTCTGTCTTCCGCTGTCCCGTCCACAGGTCAGAGAGGAGAAACCATCACACTCTGCTTTGCATTTTTGTGCTTTGATCTATGCAACACCACAGATCCTAGTTATGAAATCCCTGTAAATTGTTGATTTTTGAATCAACTTTACGCACGGTGCCAGAATTGCGCATGACAATAACCCCCCGAAAATAGATTTAAAAATAAGTGTTCTTCTTGGAGCATAACTGGTCCATGAAGCTGAGGCACAGTCTCTGCTGGAGTTCTGCCTTTCAGCTGCGGTGCCCATGTCTGTGGTCCGTACCTCCCTCTCTTCCTCTCTCCCTCTCTCTCTTACGCACGTACTCAATCCACCACTCATGCTTCTATACCATAGTAATATAAATTAAAATGGTTTTTAGAAATAGGTGCAATAAAACTATATCGAAATGAGTTCTGAATTGCATTTGGAAGGAATCTCTGATCAGCCCGTGACTAAAGCCTTAATTGAATGAAGTACATTCACACTCGTTACAGTTTCATATCCTTACAGGGTCAATGTGTACTTTCTGAGCTGAAGACCACTTCACTTATACAATTGGCAATAGCCCATATACGCCTCAATATCCACATTATTCATGGACATGTTTCTTTAGAGCATGGCCAAACCACTGATGGAAAATGGCCCTTTTTTCTCACCGCACAATTGCAGACAAGAGGGGTGCCTGCTCCATTCTCGCCCTGCAACCAGATGGCTGACCTATAGTTTCATCTGCTGAAGTCCAACACAGTCATTATAGCTGCTCTCTCAAGACCAATCTGCTATGATCCATAAACACTGGGCTTGGCGTAAACCGGCTCCCCTGCTGCACAATCTGACTCTACAGAGTTCCAGGAAGAATAAATGGAAAATGCAATAAAGCAAAAGGATGTTATTACAGAAAAATACGTACAGAGCTGCGAAAACGCTTCTACAAAAATAAAGGCATGTGCTTGACTTGGAATGAACTAGTTTGGAAAAACTCCTGTTTGTACAAAAGTGTTTTTATTGATGCGTGTTGACAATATTTGTGAGCTTCCTGGTGAATGCAGCTTGCAGGGCCAGGGCAGAGCTCTCCAGTCGAGTGGCAATGTCAGATGCTGTAGAAAGCATGTTTTCAAAGGCCAAGGACTCCTCTCTGACTCTGGGAACCAACACAGAAGAAAAGAATGTGTGGATGAAGTGGTCAAATTTACACATTACTTGCATAGAGGGAATAGTAAAGAAAATACTGTAGGTTGTGTACAGACAAACTTGAATAAAGAAAAGACCCACTACAATGTTTAAGCTTAAGCTTAGATCATAATAGATTATACATCACCAACAATAAACCACAATGCACATGTTTCAGAAGCATGTACAGTAATATAGCCAATAATAAAGCATTGAAACCAGGGGCCACAGTGGCTCAGTTGGTAGAGCATTGGTATTTGGACCTAAAGACCAAGGCCTAATCTTTGTTGAAGGAGCAGCAGTGTGGACCCACCACCTGCAGGAGGATCAGTTAGGGACTGGTGCTTTGTGAATTGGGTGACAGCTTTGATTGCCACACCCCTGACCCAGAAATGGAATGATAAAGGGACAATAATGAAATGAAACCATTATGATAGTGCCCCTCTTCAAGTATATCCCTGCATGTGTAAGCCTGACCCGGTCAGATCTCTGAAGCTGAGCAGGGCTGGGCCTGGTGCCACAGTGGGATAGCTTAAGGTTATGGTTAAGGTACTCTTTATTTTTCCCCATAGGGCAATTTGTCCTCTGCATTTGACCCATCCTGCAACGCCACTAGGGCCCCTGTCAAGAGCAGTAGTCGCTGTAGTTCAGTGATGCTCGGCTGGGTCAGGACCAGAGCTGGAGGATTTAACCTATATTGTTCATGTTTTTAGTGGTAGAAGAAACCGGAGTATGAAGTGAATGAATGACAGAACGTGAAGAGTGCTACATCTAGCTGATTATTATTGTTAATGGATTCTGAAACATGTTTGTCAGGTTTATTACAAAATTCAACACAATAGATTTAGCTTTTAATGAGTGTTTATCAGATCAGAAAAAGGTGGACTAAAATCAAATGTAATTATTTTAGTCCATCATTGTTTTTATTCTATTCATTTATTGATCTTATTTTTCCAGGGTATATTTCAGAATCTATTTTTCCCCTGGCCCTAGTTGGGGAGGATGCTACTGTACATGTGTTATGTTTACAGTGGTTGAACAATTATTGTAAACCTGCACAAACATGACAACTCCACCTGGAAGTCAAACCCAGAATGTTCTTACTGAGAGACGAGAGCTCACACCGCTGCCCCATGTTCAACGTCTGTCCCCAACCTCATGGATTCATACTCACTTCTGCATCCCTGACACAGCTCCCAGTGCCTCCCCTTCCAGCTGCTTCTTCAGATCCTCCTCTGACTTTTCCACCGTTTCATGGCAGCTCTTGTGCTCAGCTTGAATGCCGATGATATTCTCCTTGATAATGTCTTCATAACTGAGTTTCCCGAGCTCTGCCCCCACGTATTGTTCCAGGTTATCCATTACCGCTCTGTTCCCGTGTTGGATGGCCTGGAGGTAGAACATCTCCTCCTGGTACACTCTCAGCCTGGGAGAAGTTTTGGTGCTAAAGTGCACGGAGCATTTATCAGGCTGGGGTTCGTACAGGAGCGTGGGGACAGGAGGCGGTGTTTGACTCAGGGGGATTGATTCTGGCTTGTTTGTTGTCCTGGCAGGCTCATCCCCGACAGCGTGGGACGTGTCATTGGTGCCCATCAGAGTGGAGTCCAAGTCCAGACCGGACCCCCAGTCTCCATCTCCACTTTGACAGAGCGCTGGAGACACGAGACCCACCCACACAGCAAAGACAGAGATCCACCACCGCCACAGCATGGCCATCTAAAAGGGACACAGTGAGTAAACTATTACACAAAGGAGAGGGTTTGACTTTTGTGAGAAATATTAGTTCTGGGTCCGACTATAGACCTACATTATGACCCCACTTCCATCACTTTTCCATCATTAAAAATGCATCCAATTGTAAAGCGCTTTGTGACCCTGTCTGTGAAAGATGCTATATGAACAAAGATTACTGTACTTAAGTGCTTGTTTTTCGTGAATGTGACAGTCAAATGATTGCCAGTATATTTTAAATCGCCAATTAAAAAAATTCTCGTTAGTAAGAACAGTTTTATTGTCCTTAATTTAACCAAGAAATTTCGCTTTCAAGGGAGTCCTGACCCCAGAAAGAGGGGGAGAGAGTGGGGTCGAGCAGGTTGGGGACTATTGCACATGTGGTAGGGGGGAACTGAAGCGACCGGAGAAAACCTAAGCAGACACAGGGAGAACATGCAAACTCCACACAGAAAGGTGTGGAGGAAGAATTGATCCCATTCCCTGGCCCTTCTTGCTTTGAAGCACGAGCTCTAACAACTGTGCCACAGTGATGTTAACAAATGACATCACCGCCCAGAAAAATGTAAACACCCAGAAAAACCAAAGAGTAGCTTGGAGCCGCTTTCACAGTTTGATTTCTCCACTCACCAGTGATAAAAGCTTTCTCCATGGCTTCTCTTTGGATTGGCATGTCTAGTTCTTGTGGTTCTCTTGGCACCCCCTCTGCTATTGCCAGTTTTCTGTTTGCCTCTGACTGTTGCTCTGGATCTGAGCAGCTCTGAAAAGTAGCACTCATTTCCCCGTGTTTAAACATGATGTCATTCGTGCAGTGAAAGTAATGGGTCGTTCAAAAAAGTGATGTCACATAGAGATGAACGAGCTGACTTAGTGCGACATTGCTAAACTGAAAAATGTCTTTGCAGAAAATATTCCCAGGTTTTTCCATTGACACATTTTGGTCCACCTAGTGAAATAACGGGACACCATTGAGCACATTTGTGGTCCCATTTTAGACCAAAAAAAGTGATTTTTATGTTTTATATTTTACAAAGAGTTATGTTTTCATGTGGTGGTACTCAAAAGGACAAACACTATCTTTTAGAAGGTGGTACTTTTAGGAGGTGAAACAGTCTCTAAGGTGATGTGCAAAGTTTGAGAGGGGTTGGGTTGCATCACCTCAAATTAATCTAATCTTGGAAAACACACATTCTTAGTGGTAACAACTGTTGCCATGGGGATCAAAATGCCAGGTAAAAATGCAAAGAAAAGTTTGCAGTATTTTCTAATCGATTAAAGTTTATTTGCAGACAATACTTAAAACAGCTATTCTAACTTGTAGAAGAAAACAAAATACAACGAGACATGTTACAATAGGCACATGAAAGACAGCAAACCCTAACAATTGTGTGAAATGTCAGGGGAGGATGTGGGTTTTCAGTGAAGTTATGGAGCCCAAAGACCGGAATGTCTCACCCTCGACACGATCCCACCTGCTTCACTACAATCCTCTACAACATCACACCTGTGTCTCTGCTCATCAGAAAACTGCTTCAGAAAGCACATTTACACACCGGTGCTGCCAATCTGCCTTCAGCTGCCTGCACCATAACCCGTGCCTCTTTCGCACACAGCTTTCAGCCCTTGCAGCAACATTCCTCCTCCCCATCACCTCCTCTACCACCAGGGTTCAGGAGTCTGAGCACCAAGACCATATCCAACTTCTTATACCACCGCATGTCGATAAACACACTTCTAATACTTCCTCAATCTTTCCATTTTGAAATAGTTATAGCGGATTTGACAGTGGGACATGTTTACAGTCTTTAGATTGGCTTTAGGACTCTTCCTGGACTAAATATCAGAATTTTTAATTATATCTTGAAATCAAATAGTAAGCCAGTTCATGAATAACTCTGGAGAACGCCACGGTTTAAGGGGGACACATACTTCATTTGTTTTTTTGTGTGATACAATGAAAGAGATGACGCCGGATGCCACTTGTATCCTGTTTGTATTAGTTACACTTTAGTCAGACAGCAGTGATATTGGCCATAGTTCTTCCATATATTCCACATCCAGGCAGAGGAAATATGGATATGCATTTGACAAGAGAGACTGGGCTTGTTAGGATGAGGAATGACAGCTCTCTCTCAGTAAACACAAAACAAGGGATGGCGGCATGTCAGCTAGTGCAAATGTAAACGACTGCTGTCGATTTTGTAACAAAAACTTAAAGATTATTAGCAACTCAAAGGTGAAAGGAAATCCCGCCTCTCGGTGCGTGATTGGACCGATGTGGGTAAAATCGTGAAATGATAGGCTAGGAAGAGGTGTCCAGACGGTTCTTCTTTTGAACAGAAAGGAGGAGTGTCTGGCAGGCCAGGCAATGAGTCACCTACACAAGAAAAGGCCTGGCATTCCTGCTAGAAAAACACAATAAAATAGTGCTGTTGTTTTTTTTTTTTAAATGATACAAAATATATACTCGCAATTTAATGTAGCTTTCAATGAGATAACATGAAGGTTAAATACCCCAGATGAACTCTTGGGAACTGAAAATTTAAACTAAAATTATGCATTTTCTTTTATGCACAGATCTATGTCAAAAGAATGAAATAGAACTCACAAGTAAAAAAAAAAAAAAAAAAAAGACGGCATGTATTGGATTCATTTAATCACTATTTGTTACTTTGTGAATAACTTTCTGTCGGGATAAACAAAATGTATTATTTGTATAAAAATCTATGTATGAAGGTCAAACAGATTAAGATTAAGATTAGGAGATCCTCTATTCGTCCCACAGCGGGGAAATTTCAGTGTTGCATCACAAGTTATAGAACAGTAGGAATGAGGAGCAATAGCTATACAACAAAATCTATAACTCTAGTATTAAAGAACAAGTATAAAATCTCTATCTTGAACTTAATCATTATAAAGAAGTATATATATATATTTTAAGGACAGGTTAGTGGCATAACTTATGTTTTGATTAAAATTGAGCTTCAAGTCCATCATGACACCAAGTTTTACCCGACTTTCCACTGCATGGCCTAAACCAGAGTAACAAACGTGGGCTGTGTATTTCTAAACAATCTAACAGTAGTTTGCTGACTTCTTGCCAGGCCACTCAAAAGTGAAATGAGGTGGTTGGCTCGCAGGCAGCTTCAGTAACTGGAAGCACATGCACCAGTATTTATCCAGGGCCACTCTGCAGCAGTTTCCTTTGTCTTTGGAAATGATCAACCACATTTCCATGCATCGTTCCACGGCCTTCTCAAAACCATGTGTGCCGGGGCCTCACTGATGATATGGGGAAGACTGTTGTTATTGTCAACTTACTTTTATTGCCTGGGCTTTACTGTAAATAGAGAGGAGAGCAAGTGGCTTCAGCAAGATCATTGAACTAATTTAGTTTGGGACAAGATTATACCCTAGATATAGCATTTTTAAGTATGATAAGAAATACATAAAGGCAATATATCTATAATTATGTGAAGGAACTAGAAAAGCATTGGTAGAGAGCAGAGGCCAATCATCACAGTCTTTCTTGGATCTAGAAGTTGTATAATCATCATCTATAATAATTGTTTCCTTGTCCTACTCCTGAGGTGTCCTGAAAATATTGTCAACATCCGCCCATAACAGATCACACATAAGCCCGGGTGAAAACATTACCCTCTGGTGTAAAATGTGGGAAACAGTCTGTGGAAACCATAATAACATTTGCTTGTACTTATCATTTAGCAGATGTGATAAATGTCCACACAGCCTGTCTGCACATATGTACTTTCATTATCAGTAAACACACAATCAATCAACCTACAATAAAGTTTTGGATCCATACAATTTCAACTCACCCTTTGTTTTTAGTCCAAAAAGTTGCCGTCTGCCTTCATATAAACCTGAGCCGTCACATGGGCCACTCTGATGTTCTTGGTTCTGGTTTTTTGCGGCCCCTGTCTGGGGAGAGAGGACTGGACTGAATGATTTCTTTCTTTGCGGTGGAAAGTGGAAAGAGGGGCAGGCGGGAGGTGGGCTGCAGGACGGGGGAGTAATCACATTCACATCTGTGGAGGGACACTGGGGCTAAAGGGGTGCTCTGCAGTGGGACGCTTTTATGACCCCACAATACCCCACAAGTACATATAGAAAAAATGTTAAAAATAATACTGTTATTTGACGTTAGATTAGCCACAAACACTTGGGCAAAGTATAAATATTGTACATACATTTTTTCTAACAGCACATTATTTCTAGCAGCACATTATTTATTTTAAGAGATAAGAAACTAAATCATTGCAGTCCTCTCCATGCAGCAAATGCATTTAGATAATTGAATGACATTGATTGTAATACAGAAGGTGAATTCTGCGGATCCAGAGCTCTACAATGAATCAATATTAGGTCAAGTTTAACTAAATGTGGTTGAGTTTGGGGGCTCAGGTCTTCACTCGTGTCTCGATAAATGTAAATAGTGTAAAAATGCTCGCCCAATGATTAAGGCCAGCCTCGGTCTAATGTCAAAACTGTTGTGGTGTGGACTTTTTGATGACTTTTCCTGGTTTTATTTTGATATATTGGTTATTGTCAGTGTTGCTTATGTCTGGATTGTCTGTCCCACCCTAATGTGTGTCCTTGTGTGTATTAAAACCCTGTGCTCCTCTCCCCTTGTTGTTGGTCCATTGTGTTTTTGTCCCTGTTTTGCCCTGGTTTGAGTTTTAAGTTCTGTATCCTGGATTTTGTTTTTCTTTAGTAATCTTACATTTTCGCAGTCCTGCATTTCGGGTCCTTCCTCCTTTTTCAGAACGTTGACAAAAACTACTGTATCAATCCAATGCCAGCATTGTGCTCGACTGTACAGCTCAATCACACTGAGCTGTAGAATCCAAATAAATAATGCAGAGACCATGAGGGCAGAGTGCTGTGACTGTAATAATCCGCATCAGTTACACTTAACATGATTGATGAGCAAAACGCAGTGTGATTATTCCCTCTAGTGATGAGAGACATGAAAACGTTGTCTTCACTTTGGAACTCGGCAACGATCTTACAGCCAGTGTTTGGTTCCTCAATCCGAACTTACCGTGCCCTTTAGTTTCCAGGCACAAACGTGGATGCAGTGGCGACACATGGCAGATGGCGTCTGTCGGAGCCGTGTGTTTGGACACGCGTGTAGCTGTCTCCGCTGCTGTTTGCCCCCAGAGGAGCAGCCTCCATAAGGGACCTGTTTTTCTCTGTCAGTGTAAACCGTACCACACTGTTCTCTGTTTGTTTCTCTTGGTTAGCCATACAGAAGAGGCTGCCTGCCAACGTGATTTGCATATTGATTTGATTTGAGGTTTTATGCAGTCATTTATACGTTGTCGACTTTTATGATGTCAGCCTCACATGTCAGGATTCATGGTCTCAAATAAAACGGATTCAAATTTAACAATTCTGGTGACTCACGATTTCCATTTTATATGACTTTTTCATGATTTTCCAGGATGAGCTCCTCGCTTTTGGCTGCTTAATTATATGACTTAAAGCTTTATTCTTGCCAGACATTAGTTTGGCAGAATGTTTTTGACCGGTAGTGTTATCAGTTATCAGTGTTGGGAATAATTCACCACCATAACTTTTTAATTTGATACGATCTGAGAGATTCTATCTATGCCAAATGTGACACGTACATTTCTCCAGTGTGAGATCAATAAAGTGTCTCTTATCTTATCTTAATACATTGCATAAAATATAATTGGCCTTTTTGAATACTACTGTCACAGTAAGTAATGCTATGCAATTCAATTATATTTATATATCCCTAAATCACAACAGCAGTCGTCTCAGAGGACTTTACAAAGTTGTCAATTCGCCAACAACAGATCCAAGAATTAAAAAGATCAAACACAGGAAATACATTAACAAACACATACGAGGTATTTTTCAATAGGGATGAACAACCATAGATTTTAATAAATGTCCATAATTTGATTTTGTCCACGATTTATTTGTTTTGTTTGTATGGATGGATGTGTTTCTGCTGCTGCTGGACACCTGCATTTCTCCAATGGGGATCAATAACGTATCTATCCATCTATCAACATAAAGATAGATTTAATTTAATCTCTCACTTTTTCGTGCATTTCATACAAGCAAGATCACTAAGTCATAGAATAGGGCAGTATCTTATATTTCAACTTTTACCTTCCCCAACACCATCACTGGTTTAACTTGAAAGAAAGTCAAATATAAATCCTAATAGACTGTCTCTTACAAACCACAGATGTTCCAGTAACTCTGAATATCTCGACCAAGTAACGGTTTGAGTGTTGCTTAATAGAGCAACACCCTGAGGCCAGTTATTGACCAAAGCCAAGGACTGGCCGCGGTCTGTAACCACTTATCCACAACCACACAGGCCCAGACCAGGCCACAGTGCACCGCGCCTGATAAACTGTTAATCCATCCACTGCTCCGCTTTGGGCCGGGATTTAGGAGGGACCGGGAATAATCTATCAAGTATTGTGCCGGAAGAAGCTGACAATTAACATGTTTTCAGTTTCAAAAATGGCCACATGCCAATTAGAATGACTAGAATGTCTTTTTTGGTGCATTTACTCCACTTATAAATACAACAGCGCAAGGTGCAGCCTTTGTGCCCGGCAGGGGATTGGCTGAAGTTTAGAATTTTGTTTGTTGTTTTGGCTGAGAGCTTTTTCCAATGCCTCTCCCCCATTTAGACAAAATATCCAGGGAAATACTGTATTTTTCCATTCATGCATTATTGCATGTTAATGAATGGGTATTAGGATTGTAGAATATTAGTTTAAATTATGAATTGTTATTGTTATATTTTCATGCACACATAGATGACATTGGTTGAAGTTAGTTAAATTTTCCCCCTAACATTGGAAACATTCTTCACACATAGATTTGTTTTCATTTATGTAACCTTTCGTGAAGGACATTCGACACATGAAAAATGTATAGAATAGATTTATGATTTCGTTTGTGAGCTCTGAGTTAACGCCTAGTTCACTTTTCATCTGTAAGTGATACAAATGACTGCAAATCTTGCCAAAGGTCACAGTTTATTGCAGAACAAGATAGATCTGGTTTGTGAACCCAACAATGTAATGAAGCTTCATGAAGCTCCCCATGTTCTGAGATACACCATGGACGCCACTTGTGAATAAGAATAAAACAGACCTCCTTCTAAACCTCATTATACAAGCAGGAAATGAGAGCGCCTGGGGATACATTCTCCTCTGATCACTCACTGTGGACAAAGGCAACACCAGTGCCACATGATAGGCCCTGCTCCGTACCAAGCCTTGTTCCTTTAGATGTTTTAATATCATTAAACAGCCCTGAAAGAACGTAAGATAAATGATTTGAATCTAAAATTTAATCATGCAAACTTAATTAGGCAGTTTGTAGTCTTCATGGAGACCGTGGAGCTCAGAGATGCATAATGGAAGTTCCATCTCAGGCTCTTAGCAGAAGAACCCCCGAAAGAACATCAGCGAGAAATTAAATAAGCAGTATTCTTTTTTTATATATGTATTTGAAATTCTCTATCTCAGACTCTCTGAATATTACATACTTTGTATAAGAAGGAGATTTAGTTCCTTGGCAGTATGCTGTAATCAGAAATGATTGTTCTACAGGAACAATGTACAAAGTGCAATGACTTTTCACTGCTCACTCATTGTCGAGTCTCTTTCTTTTAATTACGATCTCAAAACAAAACTTTTAACAAAGAATACAATCTTGATTGCCTTTGTTTTATAAGATCCATATCCCAAGTAGGGACTAAAAAGCCATCCAGTCTTTTGTGACAAAAAAAAGACTATAGCTCATATAGTTTCTTCACATGTCGCTCTTGGTTAGTAATGTGCTCTTGCTTTGCTGGAGCACGGCTTCACTGTCCTCTCATAAAAGCTATGTGCTCTTCATTTGTGTGATTGTGTCAATAACAGCAGCCCTGTACCTGGCTCTGGTCGCTCTGGTCACCCTGGAAGATGAAAGAAATCAAAACAGAAACAAAGTCCAAGGAAAACATCATTTGAGGAAGTTCTCGGGCAATTTGTTGCAGTGAGACCGTCACAAATCGCAAATAGTGAAGCAAAACGTCACAGAGACACAGACTGGACTGATCCTCCCTACAGTTTTGTTCCTTTATCTAGCTCCGTGCCATGATCATTATCTACCTTTGAGACAACTATCATCTATATACTGTGGTCAAGGACATTTTAATCAAACCTAATAATAACAATAATACAGGGGAAAAAAACTGACCTCTGGCCTGTACCGAGAGAAGAGTTGCATCATGTTGTATCTATTCATTCTATGAATTTACAAGAACAAAAGTTGAATATTTTGTCAATTTCGGTTCAATTCAAGGCTGTAGATCCAGGACTGAGACTGTAGATCCAGGACTGAGGCTGTAGATCCAGGACTGAGGCTTTAGATCCAGGACTGAGGCTGTAGATCCAGGACTGAGGCTGTAGATCCAGGACTGAGGCTGTAGATCCAGAACTGAGGTTGTAGATCCAGGACTGAGGTTGTAGATCCAGGACTGAGGCTGTAGATCCAGGACTGCTACATACAGTATACAGCACTGAGCCTGGATTTGAAAGAATCCTGCATCCAGAGCCAGATCACTTGATCACTGTGCCATCACCTGCCTGAACTTTTCCTCCAAAACCTCCAATAACTATTTGATAAATATTTATTTTTGGCAAGAAAATAAACAAAAGGTAAAAGACAATGCCTTTAGCGGTATAAATAATTAACTAATTGCAATGAATTGATAATCTCAGATACAGATACAGTACCTTTTCAATATATTTTTGAGTATATTGTGATAACGAGTTGTGTTATGATGCACGTTTGGACAGGCAGTGGGGGAGGTCAGCTGGAGCAGAGTGGACCCCAGCTGTGCTCTTGTCCAGCTTGACACTTTTAATCAATATGAGGCGGCTCCATGTGAGAGGTCAGGGTCACAGATATGAAAGCATGCAGCGTCTCAGGGGGCATGTGGGTGCTGGCCTTACATCAATCCATTTCACTGAGATGGAAACATGAAGTGTAGACACAAACTTATTATTCATTGAGCTGAAGGAGTTTTGCTTGGATCTATCTATAAATATAAAAATAATCATCTGCGAAGTAAAAACCATAAAGTGTTCCTGAACAAGACTGGGTTCACTGGGTTCTCTTCATTAATCACAACTCATTGACTATTGAAATGGTTGTCATCTCAAAACATTGTCATCTGAAACATTCCTGGACCAAAACTATAAATATATTTTTCGAATCTGACAGAGCTACAAATACCACAGAAAGGACTTGTTTTTGTGAAGTAGTTTTAATCAAAAAAACAATTACTATTATTGCCGGATTACAAGCTCTTTCTCTGAAGATTGGTATCACTTTAGTTTTGTTTTGGTCAAATTGATAGAAATAAGTGCCCTATTTGACAGATGTGAACAACTAATCGATTTAGTATGTAGTGTGATTTTTAATGATTTTATTGCCTTATAAACTTGCCTTGCCACGCCTAATCGAAATAATAATCACCCAACTAATAGATTATCAAAATCACTGTTAATTACACGCCCTCAAACAGTTCTATTTTAACAAAAAATAAAAAATCTTGATGGTTTAAACTATTCATTCGTTAAATTATACTGTCTTGACATTTTGGTTTTTGTCATTATCTCAAAATTGTCCAAATTAACTTTGTGAAGTGAGTTTGCCCTTCTCTGTCTGCAGCTCCTCTCCTAAAGCATGTCATATTCACACTTTTATATTCACTCACTGAGGGCATTCTCCAATTCAATTTAGCACGTTACATTGACTTCTAAAAGACTTGCAGACATGTAATAACCAGGAAATAATCGGTCGCTCCGGTGAACAGAGAAGCACGAGGTGACGATTAAAAAGGTATCACTATCTGCCTGGGTGAGCTACAAACAGAGCATTTGAAATATTAAATACACATGTTTAATCTTAGGTCTTACTGTGAATAAACAAACTTGAGATCCAGCTGCACCTCATTGTGTAGCAAGTTTAAATGTCTGTTTTGGTTTTTTCTGTTTCTGCTTTCCTTCTGCGTATGTAACTACAAACGATAGCTCTTAAAACAATAACAAATTGCATGTATTATTGGCCTTTGTCACACCTTTAAATCAGATTTTTTGGATAAAAAAGTGAAAAAGAAAAGACCG